AATTGACAAAAGCCCCAAATCGATCACCCCAACACTAACCCTAACCCTAACACTAATCCACCAAAATTGACAAAAGCCCCAAATCTATCACCCTAACCCTAACCTTAATCCACCAAAATTGAAACAACATATATAATTCAAACAACCCTAAATGAACAAATATATATACAAACAACCCAAAATTAAAACACACATTCAATTTTCGAAAAAACAAAACTAATGAACAAATTAACAAATTGAAACACACAAAACTTACATGTCTAATGTAATGGCAGCTGAAGTGCGGCGGCAAGCGACGGCGGCGGCGGTGAAATTTTTTTTTTCCGAGGTCTCTCGCTCTCTCGATCGCTCTCTCTGTACTCTCTGTGCTGTTCGCATAAGAAAGAAAGAAAGAAGGAAGAAGAAAGTATTTATATTTAATTCAAAACCGTATTCCGAAAATACGTTTTATAATTGGCATTATTTTTAAGCCATATTCTGCGAATACGTTTTATATTTAAATCCTAAATATAAAACGTATTTCTGAAATACGGTTTATAAATGTTAAAAAAATGGAACGAGGTTCCCAGATTCGGGACTCGAACCCGGGTTCGGGTGAGTCCGTTATCTCTGGGGGCGCCTCGTTACCATTGGGCCGCACTAGGCTATCGCTGAATAACTTGCGCAACATTTATTCTTATCCTTCAACATCAAGATCTTTTATAGTATAAACATATAAACTATGAAGTATAACATATAAATTATATTCTATATAAATTAAATTATATAGTATATATATTAAATATAAATATATATTATATAGTATATATCATATAGTAGTACTATATATATTATATAGTATATACCATATATCGGAATTAGTACAATTGAACTCGAATTAGTACAATTGAAGTCAATTATAGTGAAATCGATATCGAATTAATACAATTAAAGTCAAATTAGTCCAATTGAAGTCAATTATAGTGAAATCGATATCGAATTAGTACAATTAAAGTCAAATTAGTACAACTGAAGTCAATTATAGTGAAATCGAAATCGAATTAGTACAATTAAAGTCAAATTAGTAAAATTGACATTATGAGTGGCGCCTGTCTGCTCCAATTGCAAATATGCGTTATAGTGCTCCGTAGCAATGGGAGTCCTGCATCTCGTGGACTTGTTTTGTTCCTGTTGAAACAAATCCAGAGTTTTATGCAATGTGGCATCTACCAAAGCTCTGCACGGCAGGAACCCAATCCCTTTCAGCACGTTGTTGTAACTCTCCGACATGTTCGTGGTCAATGTGCCCCATCTGCGTCCTCCTTTATCTTTTAACTGGGTCCACTTCTCCAAAGGAATTCGAAAAAGGAAATTGTGTGCCTCGGGATTCAATGCCAACAGTCGTTGTTCTGTCTCTTGAAACTTTCGCTCCGACAACTGCGAACCCAATTCCCAACACCAAGTTCGAATTTTCTTACTCCTGAAATTAGTCACCACGTTGCTTCGGAGGTGTCGAAGGCAAATTCGGTGATACGCAGCGGGTTCTTGCCAATCTGGTAATGATTCGATGGCACTGAGTAGGCCCGCATCCCTGTCAGAAAGAATGCAGATACGTCTCTGGAAGACTACATGTTGCCGCAGATTCATAAGGAAAAATGACCAACTGTCCTTGCTTTCTTCATCGACAAGCGCATACGCGACCGGCAATAACCGCTTCGCAGTTTGTGCTACGGCCACAAGCAATTTTCCCTTGTAGGATCCACGCAAATGTGTGCCATCGACGCTAATAACCGGCGGGCACCTTCGTAAAGTTTGAATGGCAGGACCAAACGCCCAAAATACAAATTTAAATTGTCTGTCTCGAAGGTGTCGAGCCATTTCCCCACCCTGCCATTTCCACTCTACAACTGTGGAGGGATTCGTCCTTTGAAGCGCGGCAAAATACCTACACATTACAAAACAATTTCATATTAATTAGATAAACATAGCGACAAACATTAAATAAATATACTATATTTGTAATTAATTTTTGCTTACTGAGGGAGTTCTGCGAAGTTCGATTCCCAAGTGCCATACACACTCTCGATGGCTTTTCTCCTTCCGTGCCATGCCTTCTTGTAGTTGACATCCACTTTCCAACACTGTTTCACATCAGCCTGGATCATGTCGACACCGTACTCCAATTTCTTTCGAATCTTATTACGAATGAGATTTGAAATCATTTGGGCGGTTACATTTCTGTGGTCATTTCTCTCGACCGGTTGCATACAAGTGTGACTATCAGTCCATTCCGTTAGTTCCCACAATTCATGAACCCGTTTGGACTTAGTCACCCGAGCCTTCCACAGACAAGGCGGATCTTCACTAGATCTGCAGACCACTTTGTATGACTTTTGATTCGAATCATTTATCCGAACCTCCCGCAACCTATCGACGTTCCAAGCCATCAGAGCCATTTGGGCTTCTTTCTTGCTCTGAAAAACTATACCCAAACGTATGGTCTCAATGTCGCCATTCCAGCGTGGAATAGCATACTCGTCCGCATCTATCCTGGACGGGTCCCATTCACCCATCTCGCGGTATACGTGCCGACCACCACTAGGAAAGGGGAATTCTTCTTCAATGAACTCGGCTTCACTCTCCTCATTCACCGATCTATCTGATTCGGTTTCTGAGGTCTCGTCTGTGAAATCATCTTCACCGAGTACGAACTCTTCGTCACTTTCTTCCTCGTCCTCATTTGCCCTTTCTCTAATTGGTGAGCTTGTCCCTTCTCCAAAATTACGTAGATGAGAAGTCGACGTGCCCTCATCCATTCCCCCGTAATAAGGAGTAAAATCCTCAAATTGTGTGACCGGTGTAATTGCTTCCAACGATAAATGCAAATACACAACGGACATAGGTTCATATGCATAAATCCACTGAAGAGCACTAGAGTTATCGAGTCTTCCGGCAGTCCACGAACCATCGCGTTGACGAAACATTAAAGTAATCACTTTAATTGTCCAACCTTCTCCAAAACGACAATTCTCATTAATCATTTGTACCAGTTGTTCATATGATATCCTCCCCGTAATCACAAATGAACCATCCGGACTATCCATAAATGAAACAAAATCTCTTAACTGTTCCTTCGCAAATCGCCAATACAAATTAACAAAATACGGACCACAATATGCCATTTATACCTGTTGCAAAAAAAAAAACTTTCAATTCTTCCAAATTACAACAACACATGATGTCTAATACAACACCCAAAAAATTCAATTATTCTTTAAATCCATTTTTACTCCAAAAAAATAAAAAATATTCTCAATCGATTAATCCTCCAAAACCATAATATCCATAATTCAACAATAACATACAACATACAATTCATCTATATTTCGAATAAATCGAAAATCCTAATTCTATCCCTAAATTCGAAAACCCAACAATAACAAACCCATACACAATTGATAATTTACAAAAAAAAAATTCAATCCTCAATTCAACATACACACATAATCGATAAACAATTAACAATTCCCAATTTCAAACATCACAACATTCAAACATACTATAACAATTACAATCTCCCAACAAATTTAAACAATATCAAAAGTTGAGATAAGCCAATATACCTCGTTCGAATTAATTATCCGGAAATGAGGTTCGTGTTGTTGTTGTCGGTTCACGTAGAAGTGACGATTGGATCGAGTTTTTTTTTAATTTTAACGAATTTCCGCCTTGAGCTGCGCTGTGTGGAGGCTGTGGATTGGAGAATTGGGGGAATCGCGCAAATGAATGGAGAAGAAGAAGATAACATTATTTTATATTTAGTTGTAAAACGTATTTCCGGAATACGTTTTAGAAGTATTTAATTGTAAAACGTACTTTTAATATACGTTTTTATATATATTATATTTAAAACGTATTTTCAAAATACGGTTTTTGAAACCCTAAATCAATTTAGGGTTATATAAAACGTATTTTGGAAATACGGTTTACAATTATCATTTTTTATTCTATTTCTTTTTCGTTTAAACGGAACTATTTATTTTTAATTTCCAAATATAATTATAACACGTATTACAAGAATACGTTTTTGTAATTAAATTTAATTTAGAAAATGTATTACGGGAATACGTCCTTTTGATTTTTTTCTACTCCTTTTTTTTTTTTTTTTTGTTCCACTTTATTTTTCTCTTTTTGAAATAAATAAACTACTCCGCTAGAGGGGCATAATTTGTTTAAATAATTTATGAAGCGTAATTCACTTTTTGAGTTTTATAACTTTGGATTTTTCCTTGAGTGGCTGTTGAATGTAAAATTAGGGTTATAAATTTAGCAAACTTTGGTTTTAAGCTTTTCTCCACCGATTGTTGAAAGATGAGGAAACCTTCTCCACCAAGCGGTATGTATAAACCAAAATCCCCAATGACTTGCAGGAATTTGTGATGAAAAAATCGATAATAGAGATGGCTGGGATAAACAATACCAATGAGCCAAGCACAGCGCCGCAAGCCGATCGGTGGTACAATTTAACTCTAGGCTCATCCTTCAAGGATCACAATCCCTCCAAATTTCGCACTTTCCGATGTATGCCTAATTCTCTCTCTCCTATCTTCATACTTGTTTCTGGCTGTTTGTTATCCACCGATACATCTCTAACTGCAGGTTTTTGTTGATGAAGAGGAAATACCCTAATTGCCTCTTCTTTTTTCTTTTTCTTATTTGTTCGTCGCTGATTGATATGTCGATTGGCTTGCACTAATTTGGTGGTTATGATTGTCTCATTTCGTGGATTTAGCTTTTTCAGAAGTTATCGTTTAGATTTGTGCATTGGTCTTGGAATTTTTTTTCCCTATAACAGATGAGTTCAAGCCAGCTTCGATTGATAAGAATCAGCATGGCACATTGCACAAGAGCAAGGACAACAAGGTCACAGTCGAGTTCCAAAACATACAGCCTGGGAAGCCCAAGATGATTTTTGAGGGAACGAGTGAGGATTATAAAGACAGTGATGCTGTTCTCTTCTTTGACGGTGAGTCCTTTCGGTTAGAGCGTTTGCACAGTGCAGTGAAGAGGCTGAGACATAACAGGATGCTGAGTGAATCCGCTGGACTAACTTCTGGACCCGTGGGACCTTCAGAAGCGAGTTCTCCGCCTGTTGGGAAAGGGGTCAAGCATCACATGGTGAACAAGGAGATTTATCATCCTATGCCTGTGGGTNTTTTTTATTCTGAACTTCTTTTGGGTTTTCTTGTTCATCTTTCTAAAACTTTTAAACATGTGATTCGTCTTTTGAAATTTGCTTTTCATGTAGAAATTTGGTAGATTGGAGTTTCTTAGATGAGAGTAAAAAGTGTTGCAGGTGTTATAGTTTCAGCTGATTCTTATTTTGTTTATACGTTTGATGTGGTTGCTGAAGGTTTTTGAAAAGATTTCAACTTTTTCGCATGAGACCTTTTTCAGGTGTTTCGTTGTTGATATGGGAACATTGTTGCTTTATCCAGCAATGAGAAAATTTATGTTGGAAGGGTTGTTTTCGGGTTATGATAATGATGTTCTCAATGAAATTTACGGGCAAGCTTTTGCTTCTCTGTTATGCTAATTGATGAAGCTGTTTGTCGATATGCCTTTGTGCAGGTTGAAGTTGAACGAATTGAGATTGGTGATTTCAGAAACTCAGGTATGTGATCCAGATTGATTTACAGCTTGCACTATTTAGCAGTTTTGACTTTCGTGTCTCTGCAACAATATCCATTTGTATTTCAATCCAGCCAGATTAGTACATTTGAGTGTAGGAAGTTCTATGGAGCGAAATTATTTTGAAGGCCAACTTCATCGGTTGCTGAAGCCAGATGTGGACTATTTTTCCAGATGATAGTATTTTACCTCTACTTATCAGTTGTGTGTGGCATTTATTTTACTCCCAAGCCAATTTGCTTAATGTTATTTTAAAGAAGCAATAGTTTTCCCCCCTCACTATCTATTGATGCCGTAAAAAGCCAAACATGTGTTCGTGTGGGTGCACAGTTGAATGCATTCTGATTATTCATTCTGCTGGCATTCCTTTTTTCCTTTCCCCCTAAAAATAATCCATTACGTTCATGTGTATTGAGTTATATCTGGTTTGCGACTTTGAGTGTTATTTATTCCAGATATTGAATGTAGGATGACATCCCTGTTTCTGAAAGTGTTTGCTTGTGTAGAAAGTGTTTTCAGTGTACTGAATCGTTGCATAAAGCAAGATGGAGTAATTTTTTTCAAAACAAAAGATTGATAATTCCCTAAAACATATAGTTTCTTTCCCTAATGGTATCCTTTTGTATCTCTCTAAATGTGTCAGACCCGAAAGTCAGACCAGACGAAACAATAGAGCACTGCCCGACTCCCCAACCAAACCCATCACCCGACCCTAAGAAGGATGACGATGATGATGACCTGGACTTGGACTTGCATCTTGACATCATGAACGATGATGAAGAAGACAACATCAACAACAGTAGTAACAATGTAGAAGGTAGCATAGAAGTTAAAGAAATCGACTTTGATATCAACGTGCCAGCTCAGCAAGCGAACACGGATGACGAGATTGCAGATGTTGATGTCAGCGATGACGAGGGTGGCCCCAATGCTGCTGAGGCCCTGAGGGCACAGGTGATGAATGCTCAGGAAAGGCAGAGCTCCAGCTCTGGAAGTAGCAGTGGAGGGAGTGACAGTAGCGACAGTGGGAGTGGAAGTAGCGAAAGTAGTGCAAGTGGGAGTGGCAGTAGCGAAAGCAGTGATGCGGACTCGGTTAACTCAATTTGAGGATTTAACTTGAAAAATGAGGACCACTCTATTTTTGTAATATTAATGTGGAAAAGAGAGGAATATCTATTATTTGGTATAATGATCTGGGCATGGTTCGACATCTTTTCTTCGTTTGCGTATTCTAAATTTTTTGTTTGGAGGTGCATATGCCCAGTTGAGTAATTTGTATGTTGAGAACACTATGGAAATTATACATATGTAAGAATAGAGGCATATCTTTCTTGTTCTTTTTATGCGATCTTCTCTTCTTCTCGTTGATGATAATAACTCGGAGCTATTACATCAACACTAATTAGACACGTGGGCTCAACACTATTATAGCTTATGTGACACCAATCCTGCAAGTATAATAAGTTTATCCATAGCTGCGAAGTGAGATCCGTCACGAAATTACAATCCTGCAAGTATCATCAGTTTATACGAAGCTGCAAAGTGAAATGCGTCATGAAATTACAAAGATTGATACGCAACCATTTGAAATGCGTCACGAAATTACAATCCTCAAGTATCATCAATTTATAAGAAGGTGCAAAGTAAATGCTTCATGAAGTTAGAAATATGGTGATTTCTAGTAAGAGCATTAAACAATGATTGATGCGCAACCATTTGTATTTCTCGGCTATAGAAAAATATGTTGATTTCTAGGAAGAGCATTAAACGGTAATGCTCTCTTAAGTGAATTGAGCATTTGACACAAACGCCCGTTTGAGTAGGACATTCAAATCATCTTTTTTAGGATCAAGTATGCCGTCAACATTATGGAGTATTCCTGAGATAAACGTGTTGGGTTTGGTGAAGAAAGCTCGTTGATCGTGCTATCAATCGATTGTGAAACTAATATAAGAATCCTACGCGCAGCGGAACTAACAATCGGATTCGAATCTTACTTGTTTGTTAATATCGACTTTGTACAGACATACACGGGCTACCGGTCCGGACGAACAATTCTGAGATTGTTTTCAACCTCCTCGTCCGCCTCGCCGTGTGCGTCTCGTCCCGACGTCGGTCCTTGCGCCTCGCCGTTTGATGCTCGCGTGGGCTGCGCCTCGCGTTGCCGGTTGTCGTCGTGTGCGTGGTCCATCGCGTGCCTCACTATGAATTGTTTGTTGGTAGTGCATCGTGAGGGATGTGCGTCGATCAGCCCGTGACCTTAACGTCTTCTATTGTATTCCTTCACTTCGGCAGAAAGTCGTGTGGGCGGCGATCTCTCGAACTCGTATGACCAAAACTCCTTCTCTCGCTCTCTCAAACTCACGTCCCCAGCCCTGTTTTCATTAAAGGAGGCTAGTGTTTCTTGCGTTCTCATGCTTAAAAATGAGTTCCCAACATGGTGTATTTATAGGCTACAACAGGGAAGACAATTAGGATTAGGACTTCCAATGAGCCAGAAATACTTGGGTTGTGGTCCACATTATTTCTTCGCATATTAATAAAAAATAATTCCACTAATAAATAATAAATCCCCGCCCCAATTACATGGGCTCCACTATCCTCGATTTATCTATCTGTGTCAAAGATATAATATACGTTAATAAGTTTAATTGATTAATTATTGAAAATTAAATTAATTAACTTCTTGTTTGAAACTACTACCAGTCAATGCTTATTATTATGTTGAAATTTAATCCACCTGCAAGGTTTCACATAATAAGAATTTTGAGCTTGTTTTGGGGACATCATCAATATGGCGCACCAATACATAGTGGCCGAATATAATCAACAACACACCCTATAAATAATAATATTTCCCAACTCACCAAGTTATTGACCTACCGGAATAAGTCACACCCTTTGATGAATCAAAGAAATAAATATCAAAAATTTGTGCTCGTTATTATCAGACGACTTAAGAGTACGAGCAATATCATGAGATCTAGTTTATTTACTGGGTTAGTATAAAATAAACTTCTCCTACATGGTCCAGTTCAAAACACACAAAGTGTACTAGTGTAATTCATTAGTTAAGATAAAGTAACTCAAATTATACTATAACCATATCGATAGGGTTGTCCATTGTTATCTCGACTATGAACTTTATTCTATTACACAAAGAACCGATAATATAATCTTCTGTGCGACGACACCACACGATACTATCTTCAATGTGAATAACAAGATAATGTTTTCATTGCCATAATATACTAAATAGAAATGCAAACACTTTCGACTAATTTTAAATGTCATTCAAAATTAGAATTTAATTTAAACTAAAGCAAAACTTTTAGTATACCAACCAATATGTGGAGCTCTGCAATACTTGAAATCTCAATCATGGATCGTTTGTTTGTTAGTTAGTTGTATTGAAAATCCAAAACAAGGACAATTTGTAAGTTTTTTTTGTCTTTTTGAGCGGTCGACTGGGTGGGTAGAAATTAGAATTAAGCTTCAATAGAAAGAGGTAATTCCAAAACATGAACTTAAAAAACGATTTACGTAAATTACATCACGAAATTTTTGGGGAGACTGATATAGAATACTATACCGGGCCGACTTGACCCGAGAAACAACCTGAATGAACCGAGTAAACTGGTAGGTAGAACAGAGATTGAAGTCACAACAGGTCGAAGAGTCATCAAGTCGATAAAAATGACGTGGATCAAGGAGCCCAAACAAGTCGAGCCATCAGATGGCCTGGTTGAAACTCGACCTGAAAGAAAGTCCGGTCGATGGATCGACCAGATGAGTAGCGCATACGAGCTCAACACATGAATTACTCCACCTCGAAATAATCTGGGTTGGTCGCATGATTAGATCGTCTAATATGGCATGTATAAGAAGAAATATTACTATGATAAGAACCACACGTGGATAGGGCCACGTGGCCTACTAGAATTGGGTAGTTCGGGTAGTCTGGGCAGCATATTCGAGCAGTCTTAGGCAACAAGGTAACACTCCCCTATATAAAGTGGCGAGATATGCCCATTGCAACATTACATTCTCTACGCACTCTACATACTTACAAAGCTTTCATACACTGTTCATTGTCTTCGTTCATATTCTGACTTAAGCATCGGAGGCTCTACGCCAGAAAATCCCTCTGGTGTTGAGTTTGTGTATGCATTGAAGGTCATCAACCAGCAAAGAAGGAAATACAGGTCGAATCGAATCGGTCCAAGGTCTTTTACATACCAATTGGTGTTTCTGTTGAAACATCATTCGAAAAGCTATCAGAGAGATCCAGCCATGGCGAGTGACATTCAGAAAGAACTTGGAGCACAATTTTGATGACATGTGGACTACCACATGGACGCAGAGAGCAGGCTCACCCTTGGGCTTCTCTGGGCCATCTCATACCCCGATTAGTCATCCTATGGGCTTAGAGAGCTCATCGGTGGTCCCTGTTGCAGCAGTAGGCCCAAGAAAATCCCTCGAAGATCAGATTGAGCTAGGAGGTCGTGGCTTCACCGCATGCGCATCCAGATTTAGTTGCCATCTTGCCGATGGGGCCACCAAGGAGAATAGGGGAGTCAACTGGTCAGCAGCTCGTCACGATTACGAAAAAGGACCTGAGCAAGATGATTGCCAACGCAGTGGCGGCCGGCTACGCCCAGCCGCAACAGATGTGCAACGCGGTCACTATTACTGCGACCACAAAGAAAGACACGGAGGTCGAGCAGTTGAGAAGCTTTGGCGGAGGAGAAAATCGTGATATTATGGTGGAAAAGGATAGCCGAGCAATCGAAGAAGCTTCAGGCCAAGGTGGAAGGAAAGAAGTCGGGAAGAGCTTGAGGTCACCTGTTTGCGCAATAGATTCTTGATGTCGACCTGCCGAATGGGTTCCAAGAGCATAGAATCACATACGACGGGTCGACAGACCCAGCTCGACACTTGCGGTCCTTTGGGGATATGGCCTTGTTGCATGGATACTCATACGCGGTGAGCTGTCGAGCATTTCTGGTGACCTTATCGGGGGAAGCGAAAGTTTGGTTCCACCAGCTCACCCCGAGGTCTATCAGGGACTTCTAGGAGTTCGTGAGCATGTTTCTCAATGAATTTTCCAGTGCGAGATCGCACGAGAAAAATACCTTACGTTGATGGCTATGCAACAAGAAAATGGAGAGGCGTTGAGGAGTTTTGTTGGTCGTTATACTCGAGCATGACTGGAGATTCTTTCCGTCTCAGAAGATGTCAAGGCTAGAGGATTGATGTGGGGTCTGCGAGCTGGGTCATGCAGGAGCTCGTTGGCCAAGAAGCCAACAATGACCTACAGCGGGTCTTAACCAGGTGTAACAAGTACATTAACATGTAGGAGGTGGAGGCAGAGTTCGCCAAGCTGGAGAGTTTGTCTCGACATGAGACGAAGAAGGAAAAGAATGGTTCCCCAAAAAAAGAAAGAGGAGAGGGGATGAGAGAAAATAGGTGAAAGGTTTAGGAACGTCGAAAATATGCAAGTCAGGGACTATCTATGAATTAATCCTAAGTGCGGAACTAAAGGTTAGGGCTCAACGTGTACCGTTTAAAAAATTTATAGACTTTGTACAAACATACATGACTTACAGGGCCGGACGAACGGTTCTGTGAAGTTCTTCACACCACGTCATCCTCCTCGTCTTATGCCATGCATCGATCGTCGATCAAGATACCATCGTTCCACATACGCCTTGATCGTGCATGTTGCGTATCTTAGGGTTGAAGAATCTTCGATCTGTTGTTGCTCGTCTCGGGCTGTCCCAGGTCACCTAGGGCTGAGTTGGATGTCCTAGCTTCAATAGACTACCTAATTTCAATAGACAATATAAATAGAACTAGGGGATAAGAAGGAATCTTATGGAGATTAGAAGGAATATAATGACTACTAGGATAGGATTAGGATAAAGATGAACACAAAGCAAATAAGATCAAACTCGGGCAGTCGAGCAGGCTGACCATGGGCAACTCGGGTAATTTGGGGCAACAGTTACCCCCTATAAAAGGGGCTGAAGTACACCCAAAATACATTAGACTCCTTCTCTACATATTACATACAATACTCTACATACAAAGCATTTTACCTTTATTACTCCTGTATTAACTTCAGTGTCGGAGTGCTCATGCCGGAAAACACTCTCGACCCTTTGTTTTGCATGACATCAGCGGCTGAGGAGCGATCAAAGGTCTTTCTCAACCAGTTCAACCTTGATCCATGTCCTAGCATATCAAATAAAATATTTACAATGTACATTGTTATAAATTATAATGTTAGAACAACAAGTCGTCCGTCAAACAATGATGTAAATATTAGGGAAAAAAATCAAAATATTATCAATTATATAAATCAATCAGTGTCGAACTATCATATGAATTATTATAATAGAAAAAAAAATATTTATAGTATACATTATTATAATTATGAAAGAATATTAAAGTAATTAAAACTTTATAAATTTTGTAACTTGAAAATAATATACACACTACATTCTTTTTAAATTAAGTGTCGATTTATGATATTTACCACAATTTCTTTCCCTTTATATTTATGAATTGAAATAATACATGGTAATAAACTAATTAATTAATATTTTTTTATTATTTTAATTTATACTATTTATCATTATTACCCTATGCACTACAAAAAGTCAAAAATTGCATATTAATTTGAGTGTAAAGAGTGGGGGCTATACAATGAGAATAAAATAAAATTGAAGTGTAATAAGCGTGTGATAGGAAGTAAGAAAACGTTGAAAAATATTTTATTATTTTTGGGCTTGAGTGATGTGCGGCCTCAAAATGGTAAACGTCATCATAAGTCATCATTTCCTATAAGAAGAAGAAGAGCAGCAACTCTCTGCGTTTCGGTTGTGGTGACTACCAGCCAGCCAGCCAGCCAGGTAAGTTTATCCTTTTTTTTTTCTGTCGTCATGAAAAATTAATAGTATTCTCTCTTTCACATTTGACATAAGATACCTGTAGACAAGTAGTCCTCAAAATTTGTTGTTAAATTTGGGATAATTGAGTGCAGAGACGGAGGTACATTAGGTTGCGAAGCCCAATAAAAACCAATGAATAATTAGGCCCAAATGTGAACCTAACATATAACATAACATCTCCTAAATGACTAAATCCTCCTAAGCCCCATCGTTTTTTATTTTTTATTTTTATTTTTATTTTATTTTAATTAAGCCCCTTCGCATAACAGAGAATAGGGCTATTTGTTTAAAGGGGACGGTCAAAGCTTGTTTTTATTTAAAAGACTCCTTCAAAATGTTTTTTGTTGAAATAACCCTTACATTAAATAAAAATAAAAAGAATAATAGAAATATCTAAAATACCCTTAGATAGTAAATGACTAAGGTACCCTTCTTCTATTTTGTTATCAACTTTGTAAATAATACAAAAAAAAAGAATCATACGAATCGCTCTGCTCTCTTCTCTTGAAAAAAAATCTTACGAATCGCTCATCTCTTCTCTTGTCCTGAAAAGGTAAGAACAAAACCTGATCATGTTTCACAAAACTTTGGATTCTATATTGCACAAAAAATGTGTGATGGTGGAAGAACAACAAAAAAAACATCACCTTTATTTTAGATAAAACATGTTGGTAGGGTTTGCTGTTATTTTAGAGATAAAGCATTTTGGTTCATATTTTATGATTAATAAACATGTTGGTTTCATATTTATCATGTTTTTGTGGCATTGAGGTTTTTTTTTTCTTTTTTGGTAAATAACGAATGTACAGTCGTTATATTGTTTCATAACGAATGTACATTCGTTATATGAAGAAAATCTCATAATGAATGTATATTTGTTATCTAATTATTTCTTAGTCAATGTATATCCGGTTATTAGATGTTTATTTCATAAGGAATGTAATTTCGTTATGACATATCCCTATATTTTTATCTTCCATGTTTATCTAATTTTTTCATCTTCGGACGTTGGTGTTATTTTCGGACAAAAGGAATGTAAACCGTCGTGGCGCGACATGTTGGTGTTATTTTCGGACAGAAAGCTGTCCAGGATGTCGCGGGCGCGACGTCACTCACGGGCGCGACGTCACTCGCAGGCGCGACATATGCGACCGTCGCTGGCGTGATACGCATCGCGGTCGCGACACCAAATGTCGACCTACAGAAGGGCGCGACAGCCTGTCGCGGGCGTTTTTAATTTTTGTTTTGTTTTCTTTTGTAGTCGCGACGAAACTCATTTTGTCAAATAATGATACTTGTTTCCTTGGTCATATACAATACATGTTCTTTTTTTAAAATAACAATACATGTTCTTTTTTTTTTGTGGAAAATGGAAATATGATGTAAAATGTTTGTACATTCGATATTTTACATGAAAAATGACTAAAATTAGACCGATAACGATATTAATATCTTCATAATGGCTTATATGACGAATGCACGGTCGTTTAATGTGGATTGTGGTCGAAAAACAACCATAACGATTGTACATTCGTTATTTCAATGTCAAAACGAATGAACAATCGTTATAGTTGTTTTCCGTAACAAAACGCGCTTTCTTTATGGTTTTTTCGATCGAATTACTTGATAACGCATGTATATTCATGTTATGTGTCATTGGAACGATAGTTTGAAAGTGTTAGAGCGTCGAAACACTTACAACGAAATTCGTTTTTAAAATAACAATACATGTTCTTTTCTTTTTTTTTTTTGGAAAAATGGAAATATGATGTAAAATGTTTGTACATTCGTTATTTTGCATGAAAAATGACTAAAATTAGATTGATAACGAGTTTAATATCTTCATAATGGTTTATATGATGGATGCACGGTCGTTTAATGTGAATTTTGGTCGAAAAACAACCATAACGATTGTACATTCGTTATTTTAATGTTACAACGAATGTACAATCGTTATAGTTGTTTTCCGTAACAAAACGTGCTTTCTTTATGGTTTTTTTGATCGAATTACTTGATAACACATGTATATTCATGTTACGTGTCATTGGAACGGTAGTTTGAAGGTGTTAGAAGTCGAAACACTCACAACGAAACTCGTTTTTAAAATAACAGTACATGTTCTTTTTTCTTTTTGTTTTTGGAAAATGGAAATATGATGTAAAAATGTTTGTACATTCGTTATTTTACATGAAAAATTACTAAAATTAGATCGATAACGAGTTTAATATCTTCATAATGGCTTATATGACGAATGCACGGTCGTTTAATGTGGATTTTGGTCGAAAAACAACCATAACGATTGTACATTCGTTATTTCAATGTTATAACGAATGTACAATCGTTATAGTTGTTTTCTGTAACAAAACGCGCTTTCTTTATGGTTTTTTCGATCGAATTACTTGATAACGCATGTATATTCATGTTACATGTCATTGGAACGATAATTTGAAGGTGTTAGAGCGTCGAAACACTCACAAAAATTTTAGCTTAAAAATAACCAAAATTAGACCTATAACGAGCTTAATATCTTTATAATGTATTACATGACGAATGCATGGTCGTTTAAGGTGGATTTGGTCGAAAAACAACCATAATTAATGCACATTTGTTATAATGAATGTACATTTCTTATAGTTGTTTTTAGACACAAACGCAATTTCTTTATGATTTTTTCGATCGAATTACTTGATAACACATGTATATTAATGTTACATGTCATCGGAACGATAGTTTGAAGTTTTTAGAGTGTCGAAACACTCACAACGAAACTCTTTTTTGAAATAACAATACTTGTTCTTTTTTTTGTTTTTGAAAAATGGAAAGATCATGTAATATCTTTGTAAATTCGTTATTTTAACTTAAAAATGACCAAAATTAGACCTATAACGAGTTTAATATCTTTATAGTGTATTATATGACGAATGCACGGTCGTTTAAGGTGGATTTGGTCGAAAAACAAACATAACGAATGCACATTCGTTATAACGAATGCACATTCGTTATAGTTGTTTTTCGACACAAACGCGATTTCTTTATGGTTTTTTTGATCGAATTACTTGATAACGCATGTATATTAATGTTACATGTCATCGGAACGATAGTTTGAAGTTTTTATAGCGTCGAAACACTCACAACGAAACTCTTTTGTGAAATAACAATACTTGTTCTTTTTTTTTTTTACAAATGGAAAAGATCATGTAATATATTTGTAAATTCGTTATTTTAACTTAAAAATGACCAAACTTAGACCTATAATGAGTTTAATATCTTTATAATGTATTATATGACGAATGCACGATCGTTTAAGGTGGATTTAGTCGAAACCATAACGAATGTAGGTTGCCAGGACACTGGCCCTGTTGGTCGGAAAGAGTAGGTTGCCAGGACACTGGCCCTGTTGGTCGGACAGAGTAGGTTGCCAGGACATCGCGGTCGCGACAAGGAAGTTTTTTTTTTTTTTTTTTTTTTTTTCACAATAACGAATGTACATTCGTTATACCATACAAAATAACACTTGTACAATCGTTATATTGAAACGATTATATGTCGCAGTCGTGACATGTGTCGCGGGCGCGACACTGGGCCATGTNAAGTTTTTTTTTTTTCAAAATAACGAATGTACATTTGTTATTTCATAAAAAATAACCACTGTACGTTCGTTATTTTTTAAACGACTTGTAATCAGTTCTCGACTTATTTTCAGGAGCTCGGCATCGATCCCCTTCGTTATTTGTTACATTAAAACTTCTCATTACAGTAATATCTTTAACCATTTTGATAAAATACTATTATAACTACTGCATCGGGAAGTACGTAAAAAATACAACTTCAAAAATCGACCACCCGCATCATTGCATTGAAGAACACATGAAAAACAATAGACCAGTCAAAATATAAGTTCTAAGGCTTAGCAAATCGCTTCCAACACATATAAAATAATACATCAGTCAAAACATGATTTTCAAAGCATCCCTACAAGCCATTTAATATTCAATTCCTAAAAGAATCTAAGGACCAAAATGTGAAGCAAATATCTCAACTGCTAGTTTATCACGCTAACAGGAAATTACTTTTTCATCTATGACTTTAACATTCATCCTGACATGTAAAAACTCGATGAACTTGATTGTAAACAATCCACAGTCAGACCTGCAATATAAATGTACAATATCTATTAGTTTACCAAGTTTCATAATACACTAATAAACCTGATATGATCAAAATATATGTTATATGTACAAATTTGTTTGGCTAGGAGATTGTAACTGTTTCAAATCAAACTTTTCTACACTGTAGTTAGCATCCCTTTTCACCATCCTCATTAGCATAGGTATCATAACTTGAATGAGCTCCAATTCCTTATCAAATTGTGCCTCCTAACCATGCAAGAATGAAAAATCCAGTTGTACCACACACATAAGATCCCAAAGATCACTCACCACAAATTTATACAAACTACATGAAAATGTAAACATGCTACACTAATACCTGACAATCTCCACTGTCATGCATGGACAAAAAACCAACAGATCAAATATCAAGAGATCTTCATACACACTACAAACATACTATAACACAACTTCAAGACCAAATTGATCCTCATACATAATAATAACACAGCCTCAAGACCAAACATATGTCAAAAAACCCATTGGAGAGACCACAAATTGACTCTACACATACTTAGATCCTTCATAAAACTTACACATTCTTTTAAATAATCATTCAGTATTACAGAGCAACTCAATCAACGTTTAGGATTTGTACAAGCTGCACAACATTCTCGCATCATAGTGATAATTATATTCTCAGGTGGACTACATTGACAATGCTTGGATAATAACAAAACAAAACTATGGTTGATCACTTTGATCTCCATCACTGGTTAAGTTACATTATGCAAAAAAAAAAAAAAAAAAAAAAAATACATGTCATTGATATATAGTTGAATCTAAAACATAAGCAAATTGCAAATGTAATATATACGGTGAATTGTACATGTTATGCTAAAAGCAAACATTCACTTGGGTACCATCTAAAAATGAAATTTGCAAGTGATAAGAGTGGTAACAAAGAAGTTTTCACCAAACCATATTGCAGTTGGAATATATTCCGTAACTTATAATATGATTATACTCTTAAGTATTTTTTACTTTCAAGCAACACAAATTTTCACACATCTGCATAATGTAAATAACTCATTCAAAATGTGAAAATAAGTATGATGATTACAGAGAATATCAAACTACATTAGCAACACAAAATTGGTGACACTATCAGATAATAACCATATTACAGGTTTGTCAAAATCACACTACATTGGTAACACTGTCAGTGCATCACTACCAAATACGATAACTCGTCTACCCTTTTTGTGCGAAACAAGCAACTAAAATTACCAAGAACACAAAATTAAGAATCACATAAGAATTAGAGAGTGCACAAAAGGGATCATATGAATAAGAGCTGAAATTAAGAATCACATAAGAATTAGAGAGTGCACAAAAAGGATCATATGAATAAGAGCTGAAATTAAGAATCACATGAATAACTGATATTTCAGATACACCACAATTTACAAAACCAAAAACCCAATTCCGTACCGAAAATTTAAATAAATAAAAAAAAAACGTACTGCAGAGACAGAGAGAGGGAGGGCGTGACTGAAAATTTACAAAAAAAAAAGGTACACAGATACACCACAATTTACAAAACCAAAAACCAAATTCCGTATTGAAAATTTAAATAAATAAAGTTAATGAAGGTACAATTGTTATAGGTGTATTTAATCGAAAAATAACCATAACGAATGTACATTCGTTATGATGTATGAAACAACGAATGTACATTCGTTATGGTGAAAATCATAACGAACGTGCTCTCGTTATAGTCTTTTTGATGGCACGACGTGTTAACTATTGTATCTTGGTCATATCTTGGTCAAAATAACCATAACGAGAGCACATTCGTTATGGTTTTCAAAATAACGAATGTAAATTCGTTATTTCATACAACATAATGATTGTATCATCGTTATAAGTAACCACTATAACGAATGGATTAACGATACTTGTTGCCACATTTAAAGAGTGAAAAGCTTTCAAAAATTGTTCTTCATAATTATAATATTAAGAGTAACCTGTAAGCAAAATACACAAACCATTTGATTAAGTCACATTAAAAGTGCATCAAACATTTGATTGCAAACTGAAAGGAACTCCAAACCATTTGATAACTCAATGTCTGTACAAAGCTGAATAAGGGCACAAAACTAATATTTCAAATACCCCCAAATTTACAATGTAAAAAACTAAATTTAGTACCCTAAATTAAAAAAAGGAAAACTTACTACAGAGAGATGTCGGACGAGGGGGAGTGACTGCGACGGGCCGGCCGAGAGGGCATGAGCGTGAAAAGAGGCGACAGAGGACGAGCAAGATGAAAAATTGAAGAAGAGAGGCAGATGTGGACGGCAGATTTGAAAGAAAAATTTGAAGGAAAAATTGAAGAAAAAAGGTAAAGGTATAACCAATTTTGTGTTGAGGGTATATTGGTAAATGATAATTTAATATGATTACTTATTAAATTTTAGGGAAAATTTTTTTTAACCTCCCAAAGTATGCGTTTTTTTTACTTTGCCATATAAAGTATTTTTTTTGACAAATTACCTCCCAATCTAATCGAAACTAACACATTACCTCCTAACACACGATTCCGGCCGTTCTTTGCACCGGAGAAAGCACGTGCGCGGCACATGTGAGGGTAGAATCGTCTGTCCACTTAATGATTGAATACAAAACGCCAAATCTGATGAAATCGACCCAATTTTCCCTCATTTTAACCCTAATCGCATAAAACATTTTTCCCTTTTCACTTTCAAACATTTTCTGAGATTTGTTCATTTGATTAAGATTCACGAGGCAAATAGTCTTCTGTACCAAAGATTCTTTGGTGACCGGTCATGGTTTGGAAGGTGCGGAGAGATGGGGACCAGTCTGTTCCACCGGGGAAAGAATGTCCCAATTACGGTAAGCTTCCATTTGGATCCTTTGTCCCAGGGTTAAAGTTAATTTGGTACCATGATGTGTTCCTTTGTCCCCCCATTGTTTGTTTATTGTTTATTGTGTTGTGTTTTTGCAGAATTTAAAATCTAGGGTTTGAATTAGGGTTATTGTTCTTGCTGAATTTGAATTTTTTTCTCTTTTTTGTGTGTTTTTTTCAATGAATGTTGAAATCAGGTGATGATGAAAGCTTGTTTACAATCAGATTTTATCATTCTGGATGGATGTTGGATTTGGGAATAAACTGCTATTATGATCCTAAAGTGGCGCATGTAGATTATTGTAACTGTGATGAATTATCCCTACTTGAGTTAGAACTTATGGCTAAAGAAATAGGGATAATGAAAGAGATTGTTGCTTTTCATTGTACAACAAGAGAGGTTAATGATTGCACCAATATTATGACCTTGGAAAGTGATAATGATGTAGTTAAAATGGTGAATTGCATTGATCAAAACAGACTTGTGGGAATTTTTGTGGAGCATGAAAAAGTGAATGATCCTGATGAATTCATTAAAAATCACCATTTACAAAGTCAAGCCTCAGAACTTCCCTCTGTAGATGAACCTTTGCAGTTTGTTGGTGAGAATGAGGGTAATGATGATTATGTTGAAGAATTAAATGATTTATGCTCAGAGTGGGATGATAGTGATGATGAACAATCTGCAGGTTCAGATTCTGAAATTTCTGAAAAGTTTGTTGATAGTGATTGTGAACTTTCTGAGGATGATGATGATTTGTATGAATTGAATGTTGATAAAGATGTTGAATGGGGAGGGGGTGGGGGAAAGTGTGACTCCAATGTTTCTTCCTCTTTTGGTATTTTCAAACCTACTGTTGGGAGCACTGCATATCTTCACAAAGGTAACAGTGTATTCAATCCTTTGAAAGATATGGAGAACCCTAAGTTTGAGTTGGGCATGCATTTTACTGATTGTGATCAGTTTAGAAAGGCTGTAAGGCAGCATGCCATTGTTCTTGGGAAAGATATATATTTCAACATCAATGATAAGAATAAAGTGCAAGTGAAATGCAAACATAAGTCTTGTCCCTGGTTAGTTTATGCTTCTAAAGGGAAAAATGAAACCTCAGTTCAAATTAAAACCTTGTCAGGGAAGCATAAATGTCCTAGGGTCCAAAAGGTTTCACATGCAAATTCTAAGTATGTGGCTGAGTTGTATAGAGATAAAATTTGGAATGATCCCAGATGGCCAATTGATGCAATGATGAAAAGTTTACAGGTTGACTTGAAGTTGTGTTTTAATGCACAACAGTTGTATAGGGCCAAAAGAATGGTTTTGAAAGGGGGTGAGAACATTGATGAAGATCAGTTTGCAATGTTGTGGAACTATGCAGAAGAACTTAAAAAAACAAACCCAGGAACTTCTGTTAGGATCAAGTGTAAGCTAGTTGATGAGAAACCAATGTTTAAGAGATTTTATGTCTGTTGGGGGGCTTTGAAATCAGGGTATTTGTCAGGCTGCAGGCCTTTGATTTTTCTGGATGGATGTCACCTTAAAACCACATTTGGTGGTGTCCTTCTAACAGCTGTTGGGATAGATGGCAACAATGGAGTTTATCCTTTTGCTTATGCAGTTGTTGAGAAAGAAAAGTTCAAGTCATGGTTGTGGTTTCTTCAACTTTTAGTGCAGGATTTAGAGATCACAAACTCTTACATGTGGACTGTCATGTCAGACAAACAGAAAGGTTTGATAGATGCTATTGAACATGTTCTTCCTGATAGTGAACATAGGTTTTGTGTGATGCATTTGTACAAAAACTTTAACTTGCAATACAAGGGTTTGGCTCTAAAAAACACATTCTGGAGGGCTGCAAGTGCTACAAGGGTGGTTGATTTTCAAAGAGCCATGGAGGAGATGAAACAGAGAGATGTCAAGGCCCATGCTTGGTTGGCTGCAAGACCACCTTCTCAGTGGACAAAGTCTCATTTCAGCACAAACCACAAGTGTGATGTGTTGTTAAACAACATGTCAGAGTGTTTCAACTCAATGATATTGAAGGCTCGATTTAGACCCATCATTATCATGCTGGAGATGATTAGGTTGATGTTGATGAAGAGGTTGCATGTGAGAAGAGATTTGATGTTGAAATGGTCAGGGGATTTATGTCCTAAGATTGTTAAGCTTCTAGAGGTGAACAAGAAAAAAGCATTGGACTTCATTGCACACTGGAATGGTGTGGATGAGTTTCGTGGACCACCTGATCAATTGCAAAACTTGCAGCTGTGAAATCTATAAAGTGGATTTCCGCTGAAATTGAAGGAGGTTTTGGTTCCAAGTACAAGGTACATTTGGGTCACAAAACATGCAGCTGCAGGAGATTGGAGCTGAATGGAATACCATGTCCACATTCTATATGTGCCAGGTATTATTTAGGGAAAAAACCAGAGGACTATGTTGATTCATGCTACAAGAAGGACACTTTCCTCAAAACTTATTCTCATATGATGCATGTAATAGAGAGCCCTGAGATGTGGCCTAAGTCAAATGCTATTCCAATTATCCCCCCAGTTTGCCAAAAGATGCCTGGTAGACCAAAGAAATATGCTAGGAAGAAAGAAGAGGGTGAACTGAAGGGGAAGACAAATTCCAAGGCTTCCAAAAAAGGGGTAAAATTGAGGAAAAAAGGAGCCACTATGACTTGCAGTGGTTGTGGGGGACAAAATCACAATATCAGAGGATGCCACTTGAATAAAAAGAATGAGACTGAACAGCCCAATGAAAAAGATATGGGGGTCAGTGAAGAGCCTGTCCATGTTGTGGGGTCCAGTGAACAGCCTGTCCATGTTGCTCCACAGGTATTACTTCATTTTTTTTCATTATTTTTTATGTAGATCAATTATTGACCATTACTTTTATTACTCAGCCAAGAAGAAGTACAAGGAGGCAACAATCTAACCCAACCGAACAACATAAAGATGATCCTACTCAGGTTTTTTTTTACTTTATTCATTTTTCAGTGCTCATTTTTTGGACAATCTTATCAATGGATGCTACTAACCTAATTACTAGGAAAACCAACCAAGAAGAAGTCCAAGGATACAGAAGTCCAACTCAAAAGAACAAGAAGATCCTCTTCAGGTATGTATTGATTTTGTCCACTCATTATAGTATGGTATACCATTACTAGAATTTCACACTGAGACTAATGATACTAATATTATTGTCACAATAACTAGCCAAGAAGGAGTCCAAGGCTACATAAGTGCTCCTTCAGTGATAGTTATGCAAATGCTGCTACACAGGTACATGTTTTATTTTGTTGGCGGTTTAATTGCATATAAGTAGTTTTTTCTTTAATTGAGCAGAGTTATTTTCCAGGCCAAGAAAAGATTGTTCTCCCAAGTAGATGTTCAGAAGCCTCCTACTGTGGAAAGAAAGGGAAAAACACTAGGTCTCTCAAGAAAATTGAAGGTAAAACAACATTACTTCATATGCTTAATATTTCATAAGAGTGCCTACTCTTTGTCTCATATTAGTGTTTTGAATTAAAATTAGGTTTCCAAAAGGCCATCATCTAGTCAGCCCAATGATATTGGCACTCAACAGTCACAAACTTCAAAAGTTGACAAGGGAAAAAGACTACAAGTAGACCAAAGTCAGGATCTTCCCATTAATCCCACTCCAATTGCAGATTCTGACAGGGAGTTCCCAGCAACAAAGAGTGCTTACTGTTACTCATCCAAAGAAAATGATGTCTTCAGGTCACAAGGTGGACCACCCAATTGTAGGCCAATGTGACTTTAGGTCATGTTTTGTGGAATGAATGTAATGAACAATGAATTTTTTTTGTGGTAGCTGATGATTGGATTTATGAACAATGGATATGAATGTATTAGGATGATGTTGTCTTGTTTCTGTTAAGTAAGATGTTTTGTAGAAGCAAGATGTTTTTGTGGTAGAGGATGATGATTGGATGTTTTTGTATGAACATGAACATCTTTTGGTGAACATCTTTTGGTTAAGTAATGAAGAAGAATGTTATGTTGTGTTTGCACTTATTTGTGTATGCAGTTGAACTTCAATAACTTAAAATATACATCTCAATGCATTGGATGGAATTGTTAGTAGCATTCAATCAACCATGAAAAGAAACACCACAATCCATTCATTCAACCATCAAAAGAAACAAGCATTCATTTAGTCTTATACATAAGTCATTACTTGCTCAAGTACACCACAATCCAAGATACAAGTAAAACAAACAACAATATTTTCTCCCTAATATTCTTGCGTCTTATTTCAGCCTCAAGACGATCCACTCTTTTGCGCAACCTGGGTATTACTTGTCGAGACCTCATGCACATTGGTGGATCAATCCAAATGAAATATGTACAACCACCCAATTCCTGAAAAAAAAAAAATCAAATAAAGCCATAATTTTAGAGCCCTAATTGTAAATTCTCTAATTTTTAGAGCCCTAATTTTGGGAACCCTAATTGTAAGAACCCTAATTTTTGTCCTAATTGTAAATTCACAAAATAAAAAAAAAATCGATTTTGAAAATCAAATTAAAAGAACCCTAATTTTTGCCCTAATTGTAAATCAAAGTAGAAGAACCCTAATTAGGGCAATTTTTTGCCCTAATTACCCGATTGAATGAAAAATTCGACCAAAGCAATAATTTTGAGAACCAATTCGGAATTTTGAAACCAAAAAAATCTCTTACCCGATGTTTTGCACATGCCGAGTACCTTCGGCCCGCGTTAGGGTCAGTCCAACAGGTCTTCTTCACAGCGGCGTGACCACAATTGCAGAAATCGTCAACAATTAATTCAGAGGTTTGCCTCCACATTCTCAGATTTGGGTCGATTTTGAAAGAGAAGAAATGAAGAAGAAATGGTTCGATTTCATCAGATTTTGGGATTTTGTATTATAACATTACGTGAACGGACGATTCTACCCTCACATGTGCCGCGCACGTGCTTTCTCCGGTGCAAAGAACGGCCGGAATCGTGTGTTAGGAGGTAATGTGTTAGTTTCGATTAGATTGGGAGGTAATTTGTCAAAAAAAAAAACTTTATATGGCAAAGTAAAAAAAAACGCATACTTTGGAAGGTTAAAAAAAATTTTCCCTAAATTTTATTGTCAATTTTGGGTCAAAGGTCATTTAAACATAGAATGGGTTAGATGACACAATTTCCACCAGAGAATATTTATGCCCTTTGTTCCCAGTTTCTTCGTTCTTCTTCCCACAGTCCCACTGCCACTGAATTCCGCCGTCGTCAACTCGTCGTCTGTCGACCTGCCAGGCTGCCACCACTCGGCCATTGCCATCCGAATTCCGATACAAAATCAGAAGGTACCAAAAAAAAAAAGAAATTGTGTTTACTTTACAAACCCTAGATGGCTAGATTGTGTATTGTGAAGGGAGAAAATAGCTTATGAGGTTTAATATTGTGTGAGACATCCATGATTGAGTGCTTGTTCTAGAAAGGAAAAGAGAAATTTGAAGCCTCAGGCCCTCAGTGTCTGTCTGCGATTTTCAAATTTTATTTATTTATTTTTCTGGATTTTGAGCAATTGGGTATTTTTGCTTCAAATTGTGTTTAGCTTGTACACTCAGATGCACTTATTGATCTATGTTCTTGGCTTCACACTTACACATTAAATGCTTGTGTGGATAGCTGCCCCTTTGTAGGCAAACTTCCTTTTGGCATGAAAAATGGAATGGTTAGGCATACAGTATAGTAAACTGAGGCTACACGAGAAGTCTTAGCAAGATAACCTGGTAAATGTAAAGACTTTATTAACCAGAATATGTTTTTTTCTTAATTATCACGTTTTTGTTTTTGTTTTGTCTAAACATGTTTAGTAATTTCCTTTTTGTTTCAATTTTTGTCCTAATATGTTTAGTAAACTCGAAGATTGTTTGATTCTTTTCATCGAACGGGAGTTTACTAATAGTATAAATATAGATTCTATTATTGATGAATTTTATTCTGTAAAAGATCGTCGAGCACAACTTCATCGAGCACAACTTCAGTGAATATTTGAAGAAAAAATATTATGTGATTTTTTACGAAAATGAGTTTAAAATTCTAGCCCAGTCTATTCTTAATTTTTAGATCCGTCCCTGATTGAGTGGAAGTTTTTGTAAAAAAAAAAAAATCCTTGTTTATTATAATGAATGATAGACAAAGCAGTGGTTAATTTCAGAAATGGGCACAAAGGTATTGGTGTCTGCTTACTGTTGCTCAGTCTCAAACAACATTCTTCTTCACCCATATTGGAGGCGTATTCGTATTGGGGTGCCAACAACAAGAAGAAGAAGATATAATAACAATAATAATAGGAGTCGTCTAACTTGTGATGCTTCTCCTTCACCCTTACTGGAGCAGATGCACCACCACCACACACAATCTTTATTTCTGTTGGCAGATACAGATGTTGGCTACTCATTGGCCAGTTACTACACTTCCTTGGCTCTGTTTGTTATCTCTGTGCCAGGCCTTTGGTCCCTCATCAAGCGTTCTGTCAAATCTAAGGTACTCTTTTGCTCTATTCTAATATTTCATTTCTCGCTTTTTCTATTTTTTTCATTGTACTGTTTTACATCAGGTTGTGCAAAAGACCTTCATAGGAGAAGGAGATAAGAAGGCGCCTAGCCAGGTGGCCGGAGAAGTGCTTTCGTTTTTTACCCGAAATAATTTTGCAGTGTCAGACAGAGGAGAGACAATAACGTGAGCCACTAATTTAATTTAATCGCTTCTTCTTCTTCAGGCATAAAATTTTAATTTTAATTGTTTGAGGCGAAGCTAATGAGTTGTTCATCTATTTTGAAGTGGAAAACAGATATACTCAATGCTTGTTTGTTATTCAAAAAATTAATTAGCATAATGTGCAGATTTGAAGGGATGATGGTACCAAGCCGTGGTCAAGCAGCATTGCTTACTTTCTGCACGTGCATAAGCCTTGCAAGTGTTGCCCTCGTTCTCACAATAACTTACCCAGACGTAGGGAACAACTGGTTCTGGCTAACCATATTAAGTCCTCTAGCGTAAGTACTAACTACCGTTCATCTCCTGTTAATTGATTTTCATTACCACCATTATTCGAACTCAAGTTATCTCCAATTGAATGGAACAGAGGAGTGTATTATTGGAGCAAGGCTTCACGAAAGGAGCAGATTAAGGTGAGGATGCTGGTGGGTGAAGACGGGACCCTATCCGAAATTATTGTTCAAGGGGACGACCAACAGGTCGACCAAATGAGGAAGGAGCTTCAACTCAGTGAAAAGGGGATGGTCTATGTGAAGGGTATTTTTGAAAGATAACAAACAACATTATTTGATGTGTTTGAAATTGTGTTGAAACTACTTAACCAGTCCCAATACTACTTCAGCTAATGCAGTCCCAATACTACTTCAGCTAATGCAATGTTCCTCATCCATCCACCCAATTGCTCATTTACTCATTCATTTCCATACACACACACACATATATATAGGTGTTATATATTGGGGTGGATCAAACGAGTTCACTTTATAAAATGAGTACATGAGACTCAATCTTAGTCATCGATTTTGTATAGATCAATGACTCATATTAATCAATTGCAAATACATTAATTAAATTAAAAAAATATTATATTTAAATTAATTATATGATAAAAAACAACTGAATGGCGTTGACCGCCGTTGTTCGGCCTATCGCTGCCATTAAACATTGTTTGCCGGTCGGCCACGACCGTTGACCGTCGACCCCAACGCCTTGAACTCTTCCCTAGCGATTGGAATTGTTCTCCGTGAGGCAAACGACATCGAGGCACGAGGTGGCAATTTCTGCAACTGAACCTTGTACAACGAGGCTCGAGGCGGACGACAACGAACTTGACTTGTAAATGAGGAGGCGGAGACGACGACCTAAACATCCACCGATAGTGGAGACAGAGGTGAAGTCGTAGGCGGCGAGAACGGCAAGATTCTCCTCCACAACGCGTTCTAGATTTCAGTATACTTGAATTCATCAAACGTGGGTCCGATGCTATTCCGGAGCTCAAGGGTTGATAGCTTCGGCAAAGGCGATCGAAAATTGCATGTTGGGATCGGACATCAAAGCACTAATTTCGATTGGGAATTGAGAAAGAATTGGACCTTGTTGCAATTTCAGTGAACTATGATTTATTGCAGTTTGATCTTTGGGGTTAATATGTAAATTATTTGAAGTTTGAATAACTACATATGGTCTTTAAGTTTTTATATTATACAATTAATGTATATTTAGTTTATTTCTTGTACATATTTAGATAATACACAATGCATAATTTTGTTATAAATAATGCATAGCTAATTGGTAACATAAAGACATTAGAAAGTTTCAGGATGTTGTTGTCAATTGTATATTTTGACTCCACATTTAGTTCATACGAAATGCAAAATTAGGTCATACGAAGTGTATATTTAGTTCACAAACAATGTATAATGAGTTAATATTATTGTTGCATATTTAATTCATACAAAATACATATTTAGTTCATACCAAATCCAATAGTTAATATAAACTATATATTTGAATGCAAATTTACTTTATACACGATGCATATTTGATCCATAAAAAAAAAGACATATTTAGCATATACATTTAGTTAATACGAAGTGCATATATACGGTGAGTTGGTGGGCTGCAGTGGGTGGTGAAGCCGTGGAATGAATAAGTGCATATGTAGTTCATAAATAATGCAAAATCAATTAATAATATTGTTGCACATTTAGTTCATAGCAAATGCATACTTAGTTCATCATAGCGCATATTTATTGTATTAAATCAATTATATACATGATGCATACTTAGTTCATTTTGGTTCATATGAAATGCATATTTAGTTCATCATAGTACACATTTATTATATTTGAATGAATTATATCCATAATGCATATTCAGTTCATCCTAGTGCATATTTATTATATATGAATTAATTCTATACATAATGCATATTTAGTTCATTCATTATGCATATTTAGGTAATAAGAAATGCATATTTAATTCATCATAGTGTATACTGATTTTTTATTGAATTAATTATCTACATAATGCATATTTAGTTCATACGAAATGCATATTTAAATCATCAAAGTGCATATTTAGTTCATGTGAGGTCCAATAGCTATAGTTGTGTAGATCAAGGGCTCATATTTTTGAATTAAAATTTATATTAATTATATAATTAAAAAGTAAGAATTATTATATTCAAATTAATTATATAAAATGCATTTAATTGTATATTTTCACTGCTTATTTAGTTTATGCAATATGCTCATTTATTTCATACTTAGTTCATATTTAGTTTATAAATAGTACATTCTTAGTTGATATTGTTGGTGCATATTTTGTTCATAAGGATTGTATATTCATTTCATATCAAATGCATATTTAGTTCATATCAAGTGCATACTGCTGAATGCATACGGTCAACGCCGAAAGTCAACGGTCAACGCCAGAGTCAACGGTCAATGGTCAAATGGTCTAAATAATATTTAAATATTTAAAATAAAAAATAAAAGATTAAATCTTAACCACACAACTTGATTCATATTTAATGGATATGATTGAGTCACATTCTCACTTTAAGTATGGAGACTCGTTGGAACCAATCCATAATATGTTTTGTTTTTTCTTGGCAAAAAATGTCTTCAATGGACTCATTGGGCTGAAAATGCTTCTCTCCAACTCCCCTATCCACCAGACAGAACGAGGCCGATTCGGCCTCCTAATCACTTGAGCTTAGGTCGAGCACATGTCTTCTAAATAACTGTATTCTTGGTGGGTGTGGATCGAGCTGCCCCATTAACCCGGTCGGGTTGCTTGGTTTCCTCAGTAGGCTGGAGTCAGTACTATGTTCTATATCATAGAGGATTGTACGTAAAACTTCATTTGATTTTGAGCTTGTGTAACGAAAATCGAGCTTGAAGCTTTTCACCAAAATATCATAATTCTGACTGGATTCAACAATAAATATGGTTTGTAAATGACACCACTCTCATAAATACTAATCATATAATAATTGGGGAAAGACTACAAACCCATTACGGGATAAATCCGTTGTTCTTTTTAAGAATAGATTATTTACACATCACTGATCTAGTGGTGCATCTACTGCTAAAAAAAACAATAGAACCATACCGTAACGGGATTGTAGCATTCTCCTCATAATTGTCATACTCAAGCTTTACCCATGATACCTAAACATATTTACATACAATGAACAGTTTGACCTTTTCCCTATTTGTTGGAGAATTGAAGACCTAAAGCCCAAGGCCCAAATAGTTTGTTATATTTTATTTGTTCTCGAGTCTTTTCTATAATAATAATCTAGGATAAATCAGACAAAAAAAAAAGAACAANTTTTTTTTTTTTTTCTAATCATCATTCATCATTTTATTATTTTTATAATTAATTACAACAAAATATTTGTATTTCCATCTATAATCAATCCAGTTATTCTCTTCCAGATTTATATTTATTTTTAGAGATTACGGCCCAATGACGTGGTATAAAGCTTGTCCGGGTAGTGAAACATAGGCCCAGTTCAATAAGAATAGTCCGAGCTATCGCAATTAACAAAGGAATATGAGAGATGGAGGGAGAGAGAGACTGACTCAGCGAGAGAACATAGAACTATAATCCCAGAAAATAAAAGGAAAAAGGGGGAAACGAACACCAGAGGAGAGAGAAAAAAGCAAAAAGCGCTGTGGGCCGGCGGGCAGCTGGTGCCTCCGCCGTCTCCGATGAGGACTTCACCGTCGGTACGTGCTGTTTCTTTTGGCTCCTTCTTCACCCGATTAGGGTTTTCATTTAATTGCATGTCCCTTTTTTGGCCCTATCAATGGAAACGGCAATTCCTGCCTGGGCGAGGAGCTTCGGGATTTTTCTTCTTCTCAGCCCGTGGGAAGCTGTTGCCTGCGTGTAGCCGCCGGTGATTGTACTTTTGGGATAAGATAGTTGAACTTAGACTGTAAACTATAAGCAGGATTTTACCTTTTTACGTTATAGTTTCACCAGATTCAACTCAAGCTATTATATATTTAGAGGCTGTAAAAAATTAGTATTTCTTCTAAACATGGTGTGTTTAAATTGTAGAGTGGGTTGGTTCTGGTGGGAGGAGGATTCGTTAATATACTGAAGATTGCATCAGTAGATGTTTGAGATACTTGTGGTAGTAATAGTACTTTTGTGTAGGATGGTGTTGTGTACCACCACTTTCCTGATTCATGAAAGTCAATTTATGTAATAGAGCTAACAAACTTGGAATAACTGTCAAATAATTATGATAGGCCATTCTTGTAAACTTTAATAATGCATTTTTAAAAATGTGTGGGCGGTCTCAATCCATCAGCAGTAATTTATTGTTACATGCTTTAAAAATATATTCTCTTTGTCGCATGGTTATACGTCCTCATCTTTTATTTTTGAAATTAGGTTATAAGATGAGAAAGGCGTTACTCTAAAATCAAGATACCAAGTAAATATGATGATGGTTATTAGCAATGAACAAGAACATAGTGAGACAGAAGGTAGTCGGACAAAGAAGAAGAAGAAGCAGGATGGAAAATCTCGTCCAGCATGCTCATGGGTGCATTTTAGGTGCCATTCAGTAACATGCTTCCTTTTCCTTTTCTTTTTAATAAAGAGATATTTATACTAATGACTTAGAGGATTGCTTTCAGTCGTGAATTTATCAAAGAGTACACTGCTTCCCATCCTGAATCGTCAGGGTTGAAAGTGGTAAAAATCTTATCCCTTCTGGCTAATACTTGTATTATCTGCCTAGAAATAATTGTTGGAAATATTTGGATAATGCATCTTTGTCACAGGCCACAAAAGCTGCCTCAGATGCTTGGAAGTTGATGAGTCCAGAAGAGAAGGCAAAGTACACGAATCGTGCCCGTGAAGTTTGGGATAAGTACTTAAGCAATACACCTGCCCGTATTCCCAAGCCAAGAAGACAGGTATCTTGTTGTTATGTATTTTTCCCCAGCATTTCCATCTTTATATGCTTATGGATAATTAAATATTTACAGTGTATGTTATTTGGTACAGACCAAACTTGTTACGAGGTGCTCTCCCGGTCGTTTATTAAATGTGCTGCAACGACTCACTCCTGACCAAAAGGATGCTGTCAAAAGCATGGGCTTTGGTAGTATCCTTAATCTCAGGTGCCGAACTCTGAGGCGCAGTCTCTGCCTCTGGTTATTGGATAAATTTAATACAGTTAGGCGCAGTTTGGAGATTTGTGGAGAGCGCATACCTTTAACTCCACGGGATGTTGAACTGGTGATGGGATTGGCGTCTAGTGGGAAGGATGTGGTTAATTCTGGGCCCGATGAGTTAATTGCTGATTTACGCAAAAAGTACAATGCCACTAATCGTGGGATCTCTGTTCGGCTTCTGGAGGAAAGGTTGGCGGCCCCAGAAGCAGGAGAGGATTTCAAGAGATCTTTCCTCCTCTATGTCTTGGGCACTCTTATATGCCCCACGGCAAGGCTGGACGTTAGCCCCTCATTTCTCCATTTCTTGACAAATATGGACGTGGTCCACCAATATAATTGGGGAAAGTTTTTGCTTGACCGGCTAGTTCGAGAGGTGGCCCGCTATCGCCAGGGAAAGCAACGTGCAGTTGGTGGTTGTCTTTTGTTTCTCCAGGTGAGATTAGATTCTCTCCATCTTCTCTGATTTNNCCTCATTTTGCTTTTCTATTTTATTTTTATCATTGGCAGCTTTTTTACTATGAGAGTGTTGCTGTTGGAGAACCATCTGAACTGTCCCCAGCTATTTTCCCTTGTCTGGCATCTTGGGGTGAGGAGGAAATTAGTGAGAGGGAGAAGCAAGAGAGGGAGCTTGGCGGCTATGGATGTGGAGAGGTATATATAATGCATACATACAATTTGCTCTGATTAACAAAGTTGTTGGACAATTGAGTTCAAGTGTTTGTAATGCAGGTTGTTTGCAAGGAAAGAGGGCTTGGGATGGGAATGCTAGGTTATAGAACCCAACCAGAAAGCATGCAGTTGCCTATAACACCATCAGAGATGGACAACTACCCTCTACTTGAGCAGATTGGGTTTCAGGTGATTGTTTTATATAATTATGTTGTTGTTGTGATTATTTATTAATGTTATCTAGAGTAGTTTCGTTTTGATTTCTGTAAGTTTGATCCATAAAACTACATGAGAAGTCATGAGGGGAACTCGACGAAATTATTTGTTTCAATTTATGACTTAGAGCCTAGTGCATACCTGAAAATACTCGATTATTATTACATTAGTGATGCAGTCTCCTTTTGCTCTTGCTCTCATAAGAATTGGTGATACCAAATTTCCACTCTTCTGTAGATTGTCGAATGTTTGCATGACTTGTGTTCTTTAATATTGATTATTCGGCTCATGGTGGATATGAGCATAGACTTTTGAAAGTTATACACTCATGACGTTGCTATTTTGCTAGTTTTGTACGTATGTTATACACTCATGATATTTAACATTGATTATTCGGCTCATGTTGTTTTGTTTTGATTTCTGTAAGTTTGATCAACAAAACTACATGAGAAAGTCATGAGGGAAACTGGAAGAAAACTATTTGTTTCAATTCATCACTAGAGTCTGGTGCATGCTTGAAAATACTCAATTATTATGACATTGCTGATGCAGTTTCCTTCCGCTCTTGGTCTCATAAGAATTGGTGATACCAAATTTCCACTCTTCTGTAGATTGTCGAATGTTTGCATGACTTGTGTTCTTTAATATTGATTATTCGGCTCATGGTGGATATGAGCATAGACTTTTGAAAGTTATACACTCATGACTTGCTATTTTGCTAGTTATGTGTATGTCTGTTTTCGGTTGCAGGGTGGCGAAGAAGATGAAGTGAACGGCGGCATTATTACAGCAGAGGTAACTAACTAATGGGGCGATTGTATATAAGTAGAATAAAAAATTCAATCAAAATTCAAATTTAACTCAACTTTAACTCAACTCCACTATCTCCAATATTATCAATATAATAAAATAATATCAACTAATCATTCATACACATCACATCATCTTTAATTCACTATTCATCCACTCACATAATTTTAACTAACCATCACTTCCAATCATTTTCTCCTACTTTTACATCAAATCAACTTTAATTATTTTATTTCAAATATTATTTTAATATATCCACTAACAACTAATCATACCACCTTTTTTCAAACGCTAAAAATTGAATTCATATCCAATCATCCCTTAACTAACCAAACCAATGTTTGTGATTTGATTTTTACATCATCATCAAAATCAAATCAAATGCGATTTATTTTGCAACAGAAGGACGAGATGGAGATTTCCGAAGCCCCGTGCCGCAACTCACAGTACGGGTGCCCCCACATCAAGTGCAAGGAGCACGAAGAGGACAACTGCCCATACTCCCCCTGCGCTTGCCCCATCCGCAACTGCCACTTTCTGGGCTCGTCCGCACAGCTGTCCGAGCACTACAGCAGCAAGCACTGGGATTCGGGCCGCCGCTTTCAGTACAACTGTCCGCTACCCGTAACTCTCAACAAAAACGAAACCTTCCTCGTTCTCCAGGCTGAAAAAGACGGCATCCTCTTCCTTGTTAATAAAGGGACAGAGAGCATTGGCCACACAGTCATGATCACGTGCATTGCACCCACCTCGTCAAAGGACCAGTATTTGTACGATATTGTCTCCGAGAGAGGGAACACTTGCCTCAGGTTGAAGTCATATACGAATAGCTTTCCGGGTAGGGTCCATGTGGGATCCACGCCTCTTGATTTTCTTCTCGTGCCCTTTGGCTTTCTCAGTTCCGCAGGCAATTTGGAGCTCGAGATGTGTATATGGAACACTACTGATATAGGGGAAGACTAGACTCTCAGACTCACTCACTCGTCTTTATCCAATTATTCCTCATCAGCCTTCTTTTCCTTTCTCATACCAAATATCGGCAAGCTGTTGAATGTGCATTCTAGAATTTAGGGACACCTTTAAAGAATTGAGCAATACTACTTACATCAAAATAAATTATTATTATTATTATTATTATTATTATATGTTTTTATGTATGTATATTATATTTAAAATTATAAGTTAGATGGTGGGTATATAACATTCGATAAGTTTAATCATAGAAAACATGTTCAAATTTTTATTATATAGAAATTGTTTATGTGAGGGGTTTGTTACGCCTTTAAAACGAGTTTTATATTAATGAAGTAAAAAGATAAAAGTACAAATTAATTGTTAAATAAATATTTGGTAAAGAACCATTATATAATTATTATTAAGTATACGCAACTTTCATAACCCTTTTAACTGTGAATTTGTAATTGGTTAAAATCAGTAGTAATTATGTAATTGGTTTTATTAGTAGTAATTGTATGATAGAATCTATATACACACACATAGGAGTCAAATGAGTCCACTTAAAATGTGTATGTGAAACAAAATCTCATCCATTGATTTGAGGAATCTGCACCTCATACCAACCATTATTCTTTATATTTCACATATACATGCAATATGTATCCAATTCACAGACGAATGGGCTCATGCAGAATATTCTCAAGTATGTTTATCAATGTACAACCATCGTTCGACCCCCCTACAGTTCCATCTCTGATGCTGGCCATCCAATCATCGAACCGAGCAAGCTCGTCACATTCATCTGAACCAGTAAGGCCATGAAAGCCACATGTTTTTCGTAAGCCTAAGCACAATATAACTCTTCCATATGTCAGAAGCATTAGTTGCAGCATGTACTGCGCATGTACTTTGTCTTGACGGCTACCTTTTGAAATGACAGGAAAGATTTTTCGAAAATCTCCACCAAATGGAACATCCTGTTCTGTTTACATACAATCCAACTAATAAAAATAATAACTCGAGGATAACAATGTTAATTACCTTGTAAACACCATATATGTATGCTCATCATGAAGATTTATCTCCAAATTTCGAGATGTAATTCAAGTCGTAGTTCCAAACATGCAAAACAATTAGACCAGAAATGTGTTTTTATATATCAACATAATTTTTTAACTGAAAATAAAGTACAATTATTTTTTGTTATTAACTTCCAAGAATCCTAATGAAAACAATATATTTATCCAATTTATTTTAGATTGTAAGATTAACTAATCAACTAAAAACCTAATCTTTTTCTTTAAATTTGCAACACAAGTATAAAAAACTTGAGTTTTTAGCAAATTGGGGCAACTTTATCAAAATTTACACAAACATGGTTAATATGACATTTTAGGAACATTTAAGAGTAAGTGACTCCATACATTATAAACATATAATCAAATTTCATTCGAGTAAAATGGACTATTGCATATGCATCATCAATGTCAAAGGAATAGTTCTGTAGCGCCCCGTTCGTTTATTAGGATTTTTCAAATTTTTATATTATTATTCAATTGCTTATATTGAATATTTGCCTTATTTTATTTATGTACCGGTTATAATAATAATTGTTTGTCTTATTTATTCTGCTTGAATATTAATTCCTATATGCTTATTTGTCCTTGTTTATTATGTGGTTATCTTATTTATGTGTGTGTGTATATATTAGGATTAATTTAGTAGAATTTATTGTTTCGGCCATTTTCGGTTTAATCGCGTAAACCGATTCTTATCCATTTTAAACTCGTTTTCAAACTATTTTGACCCGAGCTTCAAGTATTCTTGAAAGGCCCAAATTCTTGTATTTGTAGTCCACTTAAAACCATGGACCTGACCCAATTTTGTTTATAATTCTCGAATCATTATTGCTAATATTATTTTCGGCCCAATTTGACTATTTGAATTAAAAACCGGCTCCCTTATAGGTCCATGAACCCGGCCCACATGTTTGTGTAGACTCTTAATTTCAATTTAATTTTCAAACACCTTGGTGCTATGTTTGGATAAAACAAAAGTCAAGTTTTTCCTCCCCTATGACCGGTTAAAACCCTTGTTTGTTGCCATTTATCCTTTATTTATGGTATTCAATATTTCCCATTATCCTTCCCTTTTTATTCTCTCCACAAATACTTATGGCATGATTGGTATGATGTAATGGAATTTCGTAGGAATGGAATAAATTACAGAATAGAATGATTATGGAAATGGAATGAAACATGTTTTGTCATTGATACGTTTGGTATGCAGAAGGAATAAGACTGGAATGGAATGACATTATTATTTTTTATTATAAAAATAAATAAAAACTTTTTTTAAAAAATAATATACTTTTAATAAATTATATATAAATGATTTTCAATAATATATAAAAATACAATAATATATAAAAATAAAATAATATATTGTTTAATAATATAAAAAATAATATATTTTTAATAATATATAAAAATAAAATAATATATTTTTAAATTATATATAAAAAATAATATATTCTTAAAAGTAATATATTTTTAATATATAAAAAATAATATATTTTTAATAATATATAAAAATAAAATAATATATTTTTAAATTATATATTAATACCTATTTTAGTTTTATTTTTATATAATTATTTAATATATCTAATTAAAAAATAAATAAAAGTAAGTTTTCAATTTTTTTATTTGAATTTTTTTAAAAAAATTAATTTTATTTAATATATTTTAATCATGATTTATAATATATATTATATATTTATTTATTATTATTATTTGTTAATTTTATTTTTTGAAAAATTGATTCCTACACAAATGTGAATGAGAAAACCTTCCATTTACTATGGAATGGCTAATCCCATGGAGATGGGTTTTGCCATTCCCATTGGAATGGTCATTCATTCCCAAAAAATATACCAATCATGGGATAAGGAATGAGTAAGGGAATGATCATTCCATTCTCATGTCATTCCTTCCTACCAATCCATTAATCTCACACGGCAAAATCAGATTGATACCTCTCAATTTCACTCTGCTCTTAAAATCTCTCCCTCTCTCATCCGATTGAATAATCCCTCTCGCTATCGCGATCCACGAGCAGCAAAATCAGATTGATTACTCTCAATTTCACTCTGCTCTCAAAATCTCTCTCTCCCTCTCGCTACCGCGATCCACGAGCAGGCCCGTCGACGTCCATTCCCCATCGTCATGGCCGCCGCGAGTAATCCCGTCCCTTGGCCGCGATTCAGGCCATCAATTCTCGCCTCCGTTCGTAAAGCTCACCGTCGAGCCGTTCGCGAGCAGCCCCGGCCCCGTGTCTGTCCGATCTCTTTCCCGAAGACGGGTAACGTTTACGAATCTTCTCGTGTTTTCGTTCGAACTCGTGTAATGCATGTTAGATACATACATATATATATCGTGCGTTTACGTTACGTCTATTCGGTCGGTATCTCGTGAATTGACGTGGATTATTTGGCTCTCGTTCGTTTATGTTGAACTCTATTTTGTTTTTGTTATTAGTCATGTATATATGATCGTTTAATGCTGTTTTGGGAAGAATTACATGAGATATATGCGTGGTTTGATAAGAGGCGAAGTTCATTTTGAATGCACGATTTGTCTCGAAAATACTGCCCTATTGCGCTGCGATTATGACCCTCTGAAACTCGTAATTTGAAGTTTCTATCTTTTATGAAATGTAGTGTGTTCAGCCGTCTGTATCTGGGCTTTGAAATTTCTCGATTCCGAGTTATATCGAATAAGTTATGATTTTTACGAGAATATTGCGTGTCCAGTTTTCCTGTTACCCGGCAGCATATGAGTAACTAAAGTATGACCTGTTTATTATGTCGTAATGTGCTCGTGTGAATTTATGCTCTTCATTAAAGTTATAGGTATGCTTCTTACCTTTCAAATGAGATAAATTTCATGATGATATGTGCTCTGTAGCTCGAGTTATGTTCTTATGAAGGTAGACGTGCATGAGATAGGGTTTGTATTTTGGCAGAAACCTGATGTTAAATGTTAACTGATTTTACACTATCCAAATGACCTTATATGCTTCTTCGTTCTAAATGAAAGTTGTAGAGGCATGCTTTAGGTTTAATTTGAGACGTGAACCATGTCATTTGGAGGTCTGTAGCTCGATATAGATGATAAACACTGAAGTGATGTCTTTATTACATATTAGTCTCAGACAGGTTTGCTGAATCAAATGTTTTGTGATTAAACTCGCTGATAATGTGATTATTTGTCAATGTGATCTTCAGCAAAGTTGTAGACATTTGAGTTATCTATCATGTGGTTTTTGAATCTCATTCAAAGCATGCCTGTAGCTCCCGTTAGCTAACATTTACTGAGGTCTGGTCATTTTCATATTTCCAGTCTTGAGACTGTGACTCTATTTTGAATGTTTTCTGTTTTATCACCTGTTAAATGGCCTTATTTTCCTTCGGTGTCTTCATAAGAATTGTAGATGTATGTCTTAGGATTCCAATGAAACTTGATTCATATTCATATGAGTTGTGTGCTGAGAATTATGTCGGTTTTAAAAACGTTGCCCGGGTTAAGTTTCAAAAAACTTATGTGATATTTTCGGAAATGTGATTTATTTGATTTAATGCATGCCTAAATGCTTTCGTGAGCTTAGTTGGATTAATTGATTGTTGAATAGTCATTTATAGGGCTATTTTATTAAATGTAGGTGCTTGACGAGTCGAGCTCGCCGCCTACTCTCATTTTTGTGTTTTATCTCGACTTTTACCAGGTGGGTTCGTTCATTTATGTTGAATCTATAATTATCGCACTTGTTATTTCGTATAAATGTTTGTCTCGATAGTTTCTGTATGCGTGAGAACCCTAGTCTAAGTGTCCCGTCGATAGTGCCTTTGACAAATGCATAATCAGTGAGAGGTCGCCTGCCCGTTGCATTCGGGAGAGACGCCCCGTGTCGCCGGAGGGGGAAAAAACAGCTCTACTGTCTCCTGGAAAGGATCCTATGCCCGTTGCATCCGGGGTAAGAATGTTTCTGGTTACATCCTTGCCGATGTCTGGTCGGGAGGTTTGTTGTATGTACATCGGAGGTTTGCGATAGGGCCTAATAGGGAGTTAGATCTGGATTCTATGCATACATTATTTATAGTTATGAATCTTTATGCGAGATATACTGTGCGGTAATGGTGAGTATGATGGTTTTACTCACCCCCATTTCTTTTCTTCCTCTTGTTCCTCTTCTTTTTTTAGGTTGAGTATGGTTGGCGGCGGCAGCGAGAGACGATCGAGTGGTGGTCTTTGGATCGATGTGTCTTTTGCTTCCGCTTTTATTATCTATGTTGGATTGCTTGTTTTTCATTGGATTATTATGCTTCCGTTTTAGTTACTACGAACATGTTGGTTGGACCATTGAATTCTTGTTGAAGTACTTGATTATGCTTGAATAGTTTTGAGACTTATGAATAATTTTGGTTTTATTTCGAACTGATAGTTTATGCATGTATAGGTTCTATCTAGTTGTTCGTAATTGTTTAATTGTTGTCGGTAGTTAAGTAGCGCCCGTTAATTATTAAAGTTTTAAATTGGGATTTTGCAAAAAATTAACTCTAATTTTTATAAATAAATTCGGTAAATTCTTAAAATTAAAACGGGGCGTTACAGTTTGGTATCAGAGTTAGTCTGCGTTTCTGTAGACTATCTCTAGTGTTAATGTGCTTAATGACCATTGACCACTCGCTTTCGTCTCGCCGCGCTAGCTCAAGGTATGTATTCATAAGTGATAAAGATATTGCTTGCGATATGATTATGTGATTATTGTATGTTTTATTATTGGGGCTTAGGAATTTTCCCTCCATGTATACGGACTTGGACTTTAGTGGTATAGAGTTAAGTTCCAACTTTAGAGGTTTTTGTTGTGAGTTTTTGGTTTGGTGTTATCGAGCTAAGTTCTGTCTATAACAGTTCTCTCGTTATAAGTTCATGTGTAGTGTCTTCGAGTGAGGACCATTTGCAAGCCATCTCGAAAGAGAAGGCTTAAGTAAATGGAACAGACAACCGAAGAAGTCCCAGGTGTGTTGATTATTCGAAAGTCTGTGGATATTGTGGATATAACTATCAGACGCGTGTAGAACCCGGTTAATGAGAACCGGGAGTGGGAGTCTAGGTGTCGGTTTCATGTTGATGATCCGACCACTTGTGCTTGTAGATTCGTGGAGATCGGTTTAATGGCTAACTTCCCTTGTTAGAGCTCTGTTGTTGAGTTATCGATGCCTTCTTCTTTTGTTATGTATGGCTGAGTTGTTATCGAATAAATTCGAGCCTTGACTTGTCATCTGAGCCCTCGTCTCGTGATTGTTGTACGTTTTAAGAGTTGGCTTTGAAAAACCACTTTTTGAAAATGTTTCATCGATGACTATTTGGTCGCCGTCTTGACCCCTTAAACTTGGTCGATAGGCTTTGAACTCTTCTGATGAGTTAAAGATCAATCTCTTATGTTTCATCTCGAATAAGAACCAAGTAATTATCAATTGTGTGCTGGAAGATGTGGCCCAAGTTCTTCGAGAGCGCGTCCAGCTTTTCTGGTTTTTCGGTCTTGTATGTGATCTGTTTTCATTGCTGTTTTTGAGCTCTGAAACCTCGTCGTCTATTTTTGAAGTCTTCTTGTAGACTGTAGATCAGTCTGTTGCCTTTCATAAGGAAAAGGAATCGCGTGGTTGCCATTTTTATATCGAGAATTGCGCCGAAAATCTGATCATTGCGTAGTCAGTTTATCGTTTAAATCGCAGCAGTTTGAGTCTTTCTTTTACTAATTTTTGGCATGCTTCTGCTAATCTGGGAACCTCGATGTCTTCAGATGAATTGTAGTTCTGTCTCTTAGGATTCAGATGACGAGATTCATTCTAATATCATTTTTGTACAAAAAGATACGAGCTTCGTGCAATCAGTTTTCTGGAAAATTTGCAGCAAAATTGATGTGTGAGCTTGATCCGTTTTCAACCCTTTAACCTACCCGTTCATGCCTTTGCTGCCCGAGTGCTTTTCCCTTGCCCTTGACTACTACCTGTCGCTTAGTAGTCAAGTTTGAATTGTATTTCGAGACCCATCTTATTTATTTGATTTTCGTACCGTGACAAATTTCGCGTGATTTTTTTTTCTTTTCCTTGCGTGGAACCTTTGATGGAGTTGAGCATCGAAATTTTTCATTTTCTATTGATCCTTATCTGATATCGAACCTTGTGTCGTAACATCACTAAGTCGATGCGAAGGTTAACTTGAAAATACCTTAGCCTCGAGATAGACGGTGGTCAATTTTTCTTTCATGATCTATTTTAACTTTGAACCAAAGTGGCGTACGTGAGAATCATCGCATACCTGATCGGGAGGAGTCTCGACACCCTTCTAGGGATGTTTTGTGATAGGAGATCTCTTAAGGAGGGTAGTAGAGCCTGATGTAAGCACATCGTGAGGTGCAGAGCCGTCTTCGTTTTTGAATTGTGTGCATCGTAAATCTTTGGAAACTCTCGTTCTTTTCCCTTCAGAGTTTCGAGAGTAATGCTTTGTATTTATTGGACTTTTGCAATCCTTTGAAGATTCTTGTTTTTGGTTCGTTTGGAGTTTCCATTTCAAGATTTGCGACCTTATGAATTGATTAAGACAAGTACTTTCGTTTTTCCGCTTGTCTCATTTCGTTCTTTCGATTGTGGTGATGCCATTCGGTCTGGGTATTCCATTCATACCTGGATCGGTTTGTCGTGGTTTTTATCGTCAATGTCCTATGTTCGAGACGCGATCGAGTCGAATCAACCGAGGAGGCTTTGTGATGAGATCCAGAAACGTGAAAATCTTAGCAACGTAGAATTGAGCTCGTTTAAGACTGCCGACACGATTTGCTACCGGCGAAAGAGCTGACGTGACAACCGACACTGTTAGTCGGAAGAGACATGCGAGCTGATCAGTTTCATTGTTCGGTAATGACCGCTAAGTTGGGATGATTCCTAGTTGAGGATGTCGATATTCGATTTCTTTAGGAGATTCCTCAGTATCCCTAATGTTTGTCGTTTTGAAGGTTCTGTTGAAACCTTTCCTTTCGGGTTACCTCAGATAGTGCGAACCTTGAATTAGAAAAGTTCTTTTCTGTGCCTCGAACTGAGTGTCGGCACTGACTGGGTGTAGGTGGTGGTCGGGCACGCGAGCCCGTGCTGAGAGACGTGAGGCACTGCAGGGCCGATCGTTGACTCGCACGAGAGCTGCAACCACCATCACCGAACGCAGGAACTCCCCAAGCCAGTGTGTGCGGCCGAACTTTGACCTTGCAGCTGGTCTCCGAACAGATGTACGCACACGTCCCAACGCCCCGCTTAAAGGGTACCTGTTGTTAAGTAGGTACAAGCCAAAATACAAGGTTACCTGACTGTAGAATCACCCTTGTCACATTGGTTAATACTATATTTATAATTAAAATTCTAAAAATTGCATTCAAGCCCTCAAAAAATGTCAAATTTTCAAACAAATGACCCCAAATTCTCTAAACTGATTGGTGGACCTCCGGTTGTCAGGTAGCTGCGTCCGAGCCGCCGGTGAACCTCCCGACCATTGTTTTCTCTACTAAGCCTTCTCCGGTGAACCTCCCGGCTGTTGTTATCGATTTCATCATTTTTCAATTTCAATTTCGATGGGCCGACCCTGGCCCGAATTTGAATCTCCGGCGACTTCGGTGTCTTCGTCGTCTTCGGCCAGTGACCTCCACCTCCAGTACCAGCAGGTCTTCCATTCGAGTAACTCGGCGACGATGTAGCGGAGATTGCCTGGTTCGTCTCCGAGGGAAATTTTCGGCGGCTCAATTTTCAGCAGATGAAGACGGCGGCGGCTTATGAGCTGACTGTGGAAGGCGGTGGCGGCCGGTTTCCCGATGGCGGTGGTGGGAGACGGGAGGCGCGTGTTTTCTGTGCGGCAACGCCAAACTCCATGATCGACGGCGGAGCTCTCGTTGGCCGCTTCTACGGTGGTCGACGGCGGATCTGAGTTCGAGTTGGGGGTGGAGGGGGGGGGCGCGTGTGTAAATAAATTAATGGGGATGGTGGAGAATGGAGATGTATTGCTGGTGGGGCCCACTTAATTATGGAGAAGCTGAAATTACACAACTGCGGGTACATTTGACCATGAAATATACATATATTTACAACTATGCCATCATATTTTGACCAGAGTTATTAAAGTTTGACTTCATCATGACCATTAATATCATTGATCTAATGGTACATATTCATTCTTATTTCTTTCACTATCTTCCTTTTTCATATGATCCCTTCTCATTGTAGTAATATGCACTAAGTTTTATTTTTTTCATAAATTTAATTTATACGATTTGTTATTATTACCTTTGCACTACACAAACTACGTATACTTGTTTTGAGTGTAAAGAGTTTTGGGGCTACACTAAAATCGCGAGAATAAAATAAAATTGAATTGTAATAAGCGTGTGATAGAAGTGAGAAAACGTTGAAAAATATTTTATTGTTTATGGGCTTGAGTGATGTGCAGCCTCAAAACGGAACTCATCATCATAGGTCATATCTCATTTACTGCTCCAAGAAGAAGAAGAAGAGCAATTGTGCGTTTCGGCTGTGGTGACTACCAGCCACCCTGGTAAGTTTATCCCTTTTTGTTTTTTTTTTCTATCGTCATGAAAAATTAAAATTAGTATTCTCTCTTTCACATTTGACATGATATACCTGTAGACAAATAGACAAATAGTTTTTTGTTAAATTTGTTATTATAATGAATGATATGATAGATAAAGCAGTGGTTAATTTCAGAAATGGGAACAAAGGTATTGGTGTCTACTTACTGTTGCTCAGTCTCAAGCAACATTCTTCTTCACCCATATTGGAGGCGTATTCGTATTGGGGTGCCAACAAGAAGAAGAAGAAGAAATAATAATAATAATAATAATAATAATAATAATAATAATAATAGGAGTCGTGTAACTTGTGATGCTTTTCCTTCACCCTTATTGGAGCAGATGCACCACCACCACACAATCTTTATTTCTGTTGGCAGATACAGATGCTGGCACTCATTGGCCAGTTATTACACTTCATTGGCTCTGTTTGTTATCTCCGTGCCAGGCCTTTGGTCCCTCATCAAGCGTTCTGTCAAATCTAAGGTACTTTTGCGTGCTCTATTCTAATATTTCATTTCTCGCTTTTTCTATTTTTCTCATTGTGCTGTTTTACATCAGGTTGTGCAAAAGACCTTCATAGGAGAAGGAGAGAAGAAGGCGCCTAGTCAGGTGGCCGGAGAAGTGCTTTCGTTTTTTACCCGAAATAATTTTTCAGTGTCGGACAGAGGAGAGACAATAACGTGAGCCACTAATTTAATTTAACTGCATAAAATTTTAATTTAAATTGTTTGAGACGAAGCTATAAGTTGTTTTGGGTATTACAAACAAAATTACGAGGCTAGCTAGTGAGTTGGTTGTATCGTGGAAGTCACAATTAAAACCTAAATGGTCTGATTTGCATCTATTTTTTTAAGTGGAAAACAGATTGATTTTCATTATCATCATTATTCAAACTCAAATTATCTCCAATTGAAATGAAACAGAGGAGTGTATTATTGGAGCAAGGCTTCACGAAAGGAGCAGATTAAGGTGAGGATGCTGGTGGGTGAAGACGGGACCCTATCCGAAACTATTGTTCAAGGGGACGACCAACAGGTCGACCAAATGAGGAAGGAGCTTCAACTCAGTGAAAAGGGGATGGTCTATGTGAAGGGTATTTTTGAAAGATAACAACAACATTATTTGATGTGTTTGAAATTGTGTTGAAAGTTTGAAACTACTTAACCAGTCCCAATACTACTTCATCTAATGCAATGTTACTCATCCATCCACCCAATTGCTCATTTACTCGTTCATTCCACACACACACACACACAAAGGGTATATATATTGGGGTGGTCCAAATGAGTTCGAGTACATGAGACTCACTCTTAGCCATCGATTTTGTGTAGATTAATGACTCATATTAATCAATTGACAAATACATTAATTACATTAAAATAAATTTATTATATTTAAATTAATTATGTAATAAAAAACAACTCAATGGCGTTGACCGTCGTTGTCCGGCCGATCGCCGCCGTTGACCATTGTTCACCGGCCGGCCACGACCGTTGACCGTCGGCCAGCGCAAAATTTTGGTACGTCAGCCCCGTCTACTCCCTCAGCCAAGGCACCTCTCGAAGTCCACCTCCTTTGCTGGCGTCGTCGGCCCCAACGCCTTGAGCTCTTCGCCAGCGATTGGAAATTGTTCTCCGCGAGGCGGCCAATTTCTGTAACCCGACCTTGTACAACAAGGCTCGAGGCGGATGACAGTGAACTTGCCTTGTAAATGAGGAGGCGGAGACGACGACCTAAACGTCCACCGACAATGGAGGCGGAGGCGAAGTCGGAGGTGGCGAGAACGTCGAGATTCTACTCCCCAATGCGTTCGAGATTTCAGTATACTGAATTCATCAAACGTGAGTCCGATGCTATTCGGGAGCTCAAGGGTTGATAGCTTCAGCGGAGGCGATCAAAAATTGCATGGTGGGATCGGACATCAAAGCACTAATTTTGATCGGGAACTGCAGAGAAAGAATTGGACCTTGTTGCAGTTTCAGTGAACTATGATTTATTGCAATTTGATATTTGGGGTTAGAAAAATGCTACAAGTACATAATAATGTACATAGAGGTGTACATAACACTCACATGGAGTGAGGTCCACTTAACTTTTTATTTTTTGTGGGTCCCTCTCAATGTGGGTGTTATGTACACCCCTATGTACAATATTATGTACCTATAGCATTTCTCGGTTAGAAAATATGTAAATTACATGAAGTTTGAATAACTACAATATGATTTTTAAATTTTTATATTATACAATTAATTTATATTTAGTTTATTTCTTGTTCATATCTATCATTATATAAAAAGAATAACCATTTTTTAGAAATGGTAAGTCAAATTCTTAGTCAACGTGTTTTGCATTAATTACTTGCCATTAATGGTAATAAATATTTTTTTTAAAGCTTCCCTGTGCAATTAATGCTTTCCAAGATTTTTGGGATGTTGTTATTTTGTAATTGACCAATGCACTGATTTTGGGTTAGAAAATCTTATCCCATTAAAAAATCTTATCCTATTAAATCTCCTTAATATAACACTTATTTTATATTAAGAAATAATAATACCACGAATTTTGATTTTCAATCCTTCACAAATTAAGGAATCTTATAAATTAAATGTCAGCACTTAAAAAAATCGGCCTCTCCAAAACTCTATCCGGATTTTATTTAAAATCACGAATACCTTGCTCAATCAATTCTCCAAAATATAAGTCCGAGTTATTGTCTAGTAAATTATTTTAGGGTATCTACTATATAAAAAAGCAATTCTCCAAAATATAAGTCCTCTAATAAATTTTTTTAGGATATCTACTATATAAAAAGATTAGCGCATGTTGTATTGTCTAATTTTTTTTTTATGTTATTTTTAATTACTAATATTTTTGCTTAAAATTATTAATGTTTGTTAGACCAACAGTTTTTTAGACTATAATATATAACAGTGGATATAACTCTAAATATATTTTTATATATAATATTATATATAATTTAAACATGTTGTTTGAGTAATTTTTTTACATATATAATTTAAACATGTTGTTTGAGTAATTTTTTTTACACATTCATTAAAGTGTATATATATACAGAGAGAAATGTTAACTTTAAGTGATTTTAGATAATTTTTTTATAAAATAGTTTAGCAAAAGAATGAGATAATTTCATATTTTTCAAGAATAATATATGATATGTTAGATACTTTTACACACTTTATATAATAGTTTAGGTATTCTTAATGATTTAAAAATATTTAGACAAATTTTTACATATTCTCTAGATTAAGAAATTGTTACCCTTGCAAAATAGTTTAAAAAAATTTTAGGTGACTTCACAGATATTTCAAAAATAATGTAAAATATTTTGAATACTTTTTAGATATGTGATATAAGATTTTGTATTACATAAAAAGAGAATAAGAATTATAAAGCATGGTAATTTTAGATATAAAATTCTATTTTATTTGTTATAACTTACATGGAAGTTATGTTTTAATTATCGATATCATCTCAATGCCTTGCTTTGCTGTTTTTTTTTTTACTTCGTTTCGCGAGACAATATCTCTTATTAGACTCATAATATTTTATATAATTTTAAACATATTGTTTAGACAATTGTACACATTATACATGTCCACATACACATATACATATACATATGTTAAATATAAATAGTTTTAGGCATGTTTTTTTTACAAAATAGTTTAAAAAATTTTTAGATGACTCCACATCTTTCAATAATGATATTTAAAATTTTAGATACTTTTACATATGTTATATAATATTTTAGACGTTTTTAATACTTTAAACAATCATTTTTTTTAAATTCTTTTATACAAGATAATTATATATTGTTTACAACTCATATACGATAAATTATATTACGTATGAAGTTCACATCTTTAATTTATAATTATTAGTTAATATTATTTAACTTCATCTTTAATATATAATCATTAACTAATATTGTTTACCCGTGCATCGTACGGGATACGCACTAGTTTAGATAATGCACAATGCATAATTTAGTTATAAATAATGCATATCTAATTGATAACATAAAGACATTAGAAGGTTTAGGATATTGTTGTCAATTGTATATCTTGACTCCACATTTAGTTCATATGAGATGCAAAATTAGGTCATATGAAGTGCATATTTAGTTCACAAACAATCATAATTAGTTAATATTATTGTTGCATATTAAATTCATACAAAATACATATTTAGTTCATACCAAATCCAATAGTTAATATAAACTGCATATTTGAATGCTAATTTACTTATACACGATGCATATTTGGTTCATAAAAGAAAAAACATAATTAGCATATATATTTAGTTCATACGAAGTGCATATGTAGTTCATAAACAATGCAAAATTAATTAATAATATTGGGTGCAAATGCATACTTAGTTCATCATAGGGCATATTTATTATATTTAAATTAATTATATGCACAATGCATACTTAGTTCATTTTAGTTCATACTTAGTTCTTTATATTATATTTAGTTCATCATAGTGCACGTTTATTATATTTGAATGAATTATATCTATAGTGCATATTCAGTTAATCGTAGTGCATATTTATTATATTAGAATTAATTCTATACATAATGCATATTTAGTTTATTCATTATGCATACTTATGTAATAAGAAATGTATATTTAGTTTATTATAGTGTATACTGATTTTATTTGAATTAATTATATACATAATGCATATTTAATTCATTCATTATGCATATTTAGTTCATACGAAATGCATATTTAGATCGTCAAAGTGCATATTTAGTTCATCTGAGGTCCAATAGCTATAGTTGTGTAGATCAATGACTCATATTTATGAATTAAAATTTATATTAATTATATAATAAAAAAGTAAGAATTATTATATTCAAATTATTTATATAAAATGCATTTATTGCATATTTTAACTGCTTATTTAGTTTATGCAATATGCTCATTTATTTCAGACTTAGTTCATATTTAGTTTATAAATAGTACATTCCTAGTTGATATTGTTGGTGCATATTTTGTTCATAAGGATTGTATATTCATTTCATATCAAATGCATATTTAGTTCATATCAAGTGCATACTGCTGAATGCATACAGTCAATGCCGAAAGTCAACGGTCAACGCCAGAGTCAACGGTCAATGGTCAAATGGTCTAAATAATATTTAAATATTTAAAATAAAAAACAAAAGATTAAATCTTAACCACACAACTTGATTCATATTTAATGGATATGATTGAGTCACATTCTCACTTTAAGTATGGAGACTCATTGGAACCAATCCATAATATGTTTTGTTTTTTCTTGGCAAAAAATGTCTTCAATGGACTCATTGGGCTGAAAATGCTTCTCTCCAACTCCCCTATCCACTAAACCGAACGAGGCCGATTCGGCCTCCTAATCACTTGAGCTTAGGTCGAGCACATGTCTCCTTAATAACTGTATTCTTAATTGGTGGGTGTGGATCGAGCTGCCCCATTAACCCGATCAGGTTGCTTGGTTTTCTCGGTAGGCTGGAGTCAGTACTATATTCTATATCATAGAGGATTGTACGTAAAACTTCATTTGATTTTGAGCTTGAGTAATGAAAAATCGAGCTTGAAGCTTTTCACCAAAATATCATGATTCTGATTGGATTCAACAATACATATGGTTTGTGAATGACACTACTCCTAAAAATAGTAATCATATAATAATTGGGGGAAGGCTACAATCTCGTTACGGGATGGTTCTGTTGTTCTTTTTAAGCGTATATTATCTACACATCACTGATCTACATGTGTATCTACGGCTAAAAATAACAACAAAGCCATCCCGTAGCGGAATTGTAACATTCTTCTAGTAATTGTCATACTCAAGCTTTACCCATGATACCTAAACATATTTACATACAATGAATAGTTGGACCCTTTCCCTATTTGTTGGAGAATTTAAGACCTAAAGCCAAAGACCCAAATAGTTTGTTTGTTATATTTTACTTGTTCTCGTGTCTTTTCTATAACAATAAACTAGGATAAATCAGACAATAAAAAGCACAATGTAAAATATACTATTTATCAAATTTTGACTGTATTTTGAAATTTAATTTAAAATAAGGGTCTTAATCTCTAAAAATGTGTTCAAATCTTTTGTGATTGAACAAATCCCACATTTTAAGAGCAACATTTAATGCTGCCCGATTTTTTTGTAAGAAAAAAAAAAGTTGCCAAAAGTGGCATGTAATTAATGCAGATAGGATTTTGAACAAAATTTGACTTACTATTTTTAAAAAATATTAATTCTTATTATATATATATAGATGTACATTGAATTCCAAAACTAATCACTTTCATTCCAACTAGTACAGAGCCCGTGCGATGCACGGGGTGCACAATTTTAAAACTATTTATCCAGGCTTATAATTATATAAATGAATAAAGAAAAATGTACGGGATATATATAGTACGTGCGAAGCACGAGATATATTTATTTGGATAATATTATATTATAAGATGCAATATTCAATAAAAGTTTATAATACGCAAGAAATTGTACAATGTTCAATAAAAGTTTTATAATATTCAAGTGGAGTCTTAAAGTCTCTTGTACATTAAGAGTACTGACAAAATAATATTTTCATCAATGAGTTTCCTTTCCTTGTAGCCAAATTGTGAATGTGATTTGAGGAGTATAACAAATCGATATATAGCTGACTTGCTTTTTTCATTATAGTTTTTTTTTTATAATGAATTTAAAGATATTCTAAAATATAGAAAAAATTAATATTTTTATTACAATTAGGAATTTTACTAAATATAAACTCTCATATGATGTTAATCAACGTTTAAGTCTAAAAAATTTAGAATTTTTACCTCTTTTAATCAACGTTTAAGTCTAAAAAACAATAGAGTTATTATAAGTTTTTTTTCTACATCTTTTAAAACATTAAATATGAGCATGTTAGGGCTAGCTTGTAAAATAATTAATATATTATCTCACTAAAAAATTTATACTATTAAAAATTTAATTTTAGCATATAAATTTATCCCTTAATATAAGAGAAAGTAACAGTTTTACTTATTATTGTTCACCATATAATATTTAATTATTATTTTATTATATAATAAAAAAAGAATACTGTTAAATAGTGTAGTAGAATTGTTATAAAATTATATGATTTTTTTTTAATATGAATTTAATATTTTTTTATGATTTGATAATATAAACAAATCTATACTTAACTTTGACAAATAAAACAAATAAAATACTTTAGTAAGTATTTAATGTATATACTAAATAGGAATATATTTGGTATAATCAAATACCAAATATAATCAAATAAGTCAAAGTGTACATTTTTATTTGGTATTTAATTTTTTTATTATTAAAATCTTTTTATTATACTTACTTTTTAAAAATAAAACAAATAAATAAATTAATTAAATAAATAAAATATTATAAGACCAAAATAATAATGACATTTAATACAGTTGACTTTTCTGGATAGTAAATGTAGTAAATAGAATATCCTTTTATATAGTATAATACGGAAATAGTAATGCAATAAATGTTGTTGGCTTTTCTGACTACTTAATTTGGTAAATAGTAGCCCCTTTAATATAAGTATAGATTATTATAAACTGCCACGTTCAAAAGAAACTGATACACATTCCAAAAATTAAATATATTCCTTTCCTTCTCTATCTTTTCTTTCTATATCTTTTTTCCTTTTCGGCGCATTCTTCTTCTTCTTCTTCCTCTTCTTCTTCTTCACATTAATTCATAAGAAAAAGAATATACACAAAAAAAAAAGTGATCAATAGATTATATACATACATAATAATTAAAAATATTAAACAAAACAACACAAAAATTACATTAAAAGAGCCAAACAAATATACACCTCCTTAGAATTACCATCCAAAACAAGAGAATAAACAACACTATGAAACCCAACAGAAACGTCACATACACCAAGAAGCAACAACAAATAAACCATCAGAAAACATAGTTGGTGATGATCGAAAACACGACTAATGTTTTAAAGAAATCATAATCAATAAAAAACTTAAAAACGTCGTCTGAAAAAAAAAAAAATCAAATCTCCACATATAATTCTCATATCTAAACATATACAAGACCCAAATCATTCATCGCTGCCATGATTGCATCTGAATTTGAAAAGTAAATAAATCTACCGAAGTTTTTTGAAAAAAATCGTAAATATTTATCTTTAACTCCTCATGAGATTAAATTAACCAAAAAAATCATGAAATAAAATAGGTCATCAACATAATATAATATCGGGCGTGTCAACCACTTGCCGCCAATCCCGCCTAGCCGCCCCCTTCATGAATAGAAACCGCAAGAACTGCCTGCGAACTCGTCAATCGCCGACACAAGCCTTTATACGCCGGTTGATTTTTTCAAGTTCGAAGACTCACCGTGAGTTACTTGCGTATCCCAGGTATGCGAAATGAAATTAAAAGAAACGATGGGGAAGGAAACTGATGTTTTTGGGAAATGAAGAAAAAAAAAAAGAAAAACAGAAATAAAGAAAAAGAAGAACGAGAATAAGATAAGGAAGGTATAAATAAAAGAGAAAAGGTAAAGGAACTGTCACAGCGGTTTAATCTGTGAACAAAGTAAACAAAAAATAGAATATAAATAATATATTAAAAAATACAAAATGGTAATAAAATGGAGTATAAATGGAATACTCCAGCAGGTGTATCAATTAAGTAATAATTTATTTTAAGAAGATAACCGGTGTGCTTATTTCCCGTATAAAGCTTGTCCAGGTAGTGAAACATAGGCCCAATTCAATAAGAATAGTCCGAGCCATCGGATATGAGAGATGGTGGGAGAGAGACTCTGACTGAGCGACAGAACATAGAAATATAGAATTCCAGAAAATAAAAGGAAAAAGGGTAAACGAACACCAGAGAAGAGAGAAAAAAAAAAAAAAGCGCTGTGGGCCGATGGGCGGGCAGCTGGTGCCTCCGCCGTCTCTGATGAGGACTTCACCGTCGGTACGTGCTGATTCTCTTAGCTCCTTCTTCACCCGACTAGGGTTTTCATTTAGTTGCATGTCCCTTTTTTTGGCCCTATCAATGGAAACCGCAATTCCTGCCTGGGCGAAGAGCTTCGGGATTTTTCTTCTTTTCAGCCCGTGGGAAGCTGTTGGCTGCGTCTAGCCGCCGGTGATTGTACTTTTGAGATAAGATAGTTGAACTTAGACTGTAAATTATAAGCAGGATTTTACTTTTTTACGTTATAGTTTCACCAGATTCAACTCAAGCTTATTTATATTTAGAGGCTGTAAAAAATTAGAATTGCTTCTAAACATGGTGTGTTCAAATTGTAGAGTGGGTTGGTTCTGGTGGGAGGAGGATCCGTTAATATACTGAAGATTGCATCAGTAGATGTTTGAGATACTTGTGGTAGTAATTGTACTTTTGTGTAGGATGGTGTTGTGTACCACCACTTTCTTGATTCATGAAAGTCAATTTACGTAATAGAGCTAACGAACTAGGAATAACTGTCAAATAATTGGACTTTATAAGCAGTCGCCGATGACCGGTCAACATCAGCTTGCCACCCCTTTCCGACTTCGCTCCCGGAGTGCTGCTGCCCTTTTCATCTCGCCGATGTCCGCTAGTTCCAGTTGCATCTCTCTGAAATTCGGACTGGATAAGGAGAAGTTTCTAGAGGTTATGCGTGGCCGGGCCACCAAGACCATGGCTATGGAATTGTTCGGGAAGAGAATGGTCGGGAGGGATTTTGGGCCAAGAGGTTTTTGCGGAGTATATGGTGAAGGATTTGGGGATGGCAACAGATGTTGTAGAGGAGGGCCAAGCAGGGACAGTGGTGTTGCCGGGAGCTGCCGGGACCCAGTGGGGACAGAAAAATCAGAATTTGGGAAATAGGGGCTAGGGTATATTTTTTGAAAATTAGATAAATTCTAAGTGTTTAATTGTAATTTTAAAAATTTATAAATGACTGCAGTTTGATCCTTAGGGGTCAATATGAAATTTATTTAAAGTGTGAATAGCTGCACTGTAAGATGTAGCTGAAAATAATATGGCTCGAAGAGTTAGGTCGTAGGGTTCGAGAGATTGGTGAATAACTGCACTATATGATGTAACTGAAATTTATAAGAGATTGGTATCAGACTTGCCATAAACTCCACCTTATGCTTAGGCTGCAGGATTCGAGTCTAGGGAAGGGCGAAAAACCACATAATGCCCAAAGATGGGTTTTCACCATAGGGCAGGAGCACTGTGTAAGATCGTGAGTCCCCGGCAAGGCAAGAACCTAAAGGGGGCCGACACCCCGACAAGGCAAAAGAACCTACCGGGGGAAAGGCTAACGAAAAATATCGTCAACAAAAAAGGGCGCCCTTTTTTGTTGACGGTTATAACCATCAACCTTCCCCACTTTTGGGGGGTCTGACCCCCCGGTGAGCCATTGACCATGCACCGGGGACTCATGGCTTCCACAGTGCTCTTGTCCTAAGAAGAAAACCCTTCTTTAGACTTTCTGTGGTTTTTGCCCTTTCTCAGATTCCAACCCTGCACCCTGAGTATAAGGTGAAGTTCATGGCAAGTCTAGTACCAATCCACCAAATTTCGAGTAATTCAAGTTGTAGTTCCAAACATGAAAACTAGTGTTTTAAATACCGTACCGGTAATCATACTGGACGAGCCAACGGTACGCGGTACAACCGGTTTAACCGGTATTACCGTCTATTTTACCTGTTTCAATAAATATTAAATTAATTTGTTATTATAATATAAATGATGTAAAAAATTAACTTTAACTAATACTAAAATTAATTAACATCTTATAACAATGTAAACATATTAAAATTAAGTGTAGAACTTTCAATTTATATAAATAAATTAATAAAAATATATTAAAAATTATTTTTTTAAAAGAAATTGGATAAACCGGTATTTTGGTCGGTATTTGCCAGTAAAACCGGTATTTTGGCCAAAACGGTATTTAGAGTGTAATCGTACCGGTCAGATCACCGGTATCCGGTATTACCGGTAATACCGGCCGGTACGGTACGATATTTAAAACATTGGTGAAAAGAATTAAGATTAGAAATGTGTTATTATATATCAACATAATTTTTAAACTGAAAATAAAGTACAATTTTATATTGTTATTAACCTCCAAGGATCCTAATGAAAACAATATATTCATCCAATTGATGTTAGACTGTAATATTAACTAATCAACTAAAAACCTAATATTATTTTTTAAATTTGCAAAAGATGTCCAGGGAAGGCAACAAGTATAAAAAACTTGAGTTTTCAGCAAATTGAGACAACTTTATCAAAATATACATAAACATGATTAATATGATGTTTTAGTCGAACATTTAGGACTAAATGAGTAAATGACTCCAAACTCTATAAACATATAATAAAATTTCATGTAAGTAAAATGGAGACTTTTAATTAAAGGCCATACCTTTACTTAAAGTGGCTTTCACTTCTGAACTGAGCCGAGTCAACCATGAAAATGGCCGGAGCAGTCAAATGTAAACGCTTTAACCTCCTATGCCGTGTTTGGAGAATCAGCATGCATAATTTATGAGTTGGCAGAAACATAAATCAAATGTTGGTCATTAATTATTGAAAAATAAAAACACTTCTTATTCAAACATAACCTTATAATATCTCTCTGTTCATCATTTGTAGATCTAAGTATATATATGTGAAAATTGAAGTCTGATTTCAAATTTCAATCCTTATCTTTCGATATTGTATATAAAAAAATAGTTCATAATATTTTCATGTTCATTCTGTAAGAAATTTTTTTTTAACGAAAATTACAAATTAAATCAAGAGTTCAAATAAACTTCATAAATCCAGTCAAAATATATTGACTAGACTCATATATGCAAAATTTGCGAATAAATACATATATTTAAATGAAAAATAGACATTTCATCCTTGGTTTTCATGTTTTCGACTGAAAAAATGGGAATTTGGATAAAAAATCGAAAAATAAACCAGATCCTTCCATTTTTAGTATGAAATTTAAAAAACCTACAATAAACACAGTATGAATAAAAAAATTTGAACATAATTTACATATTAAAGCCCGACTTCGAAATATACTTTAGAAGTACGGTATAAATATATTGACCAAACTCATTTCTACATTAAATGGTGTCCGATTTGTAAAAGAATAAAAAAAAAAAAGTGCATGTGTCATTTATATATATATATATAGAGTTAGGATCACATGAGAATGGTAGAGAGTGAAAGAAATAAGAATGATCACGGACCATTGGATCAATTATATCAATGAACATGATGAAGTCAAGATTTAATTATAATGGTCAAACCTGAGTGGCAAAATTGTGATTATATTATAATGTCATGGACAAATACATACATTTGAGGGCAGTGGTGTAATTTCATCAAATAAAAATTCAGTGGGCCCCACCCATATCAATTCACGTCACTCTCTCCTCTCTCTCCTATCTCTCCCCCTTTGTTCTCTCTCTCACACACACACACACACACTAAACATATCTGAAATCGTTCACCTTCTGCGAGCCCGCCGGAGATGCCTACTGCCACCAACAGCCGCCGTCTGCTGCCGCCCGACACCGCCTTCTACAGCCGCCGTATCTCTCTCTCTCGTCATCTCTCCATTTTCCCTTTGCACAGACGACCAATGTCCGCCACAAATTCCGGCGATCTCTCTACCTTCTCTCCGGCGTCGGCCTTGCCTTCCCTCTCCCGCTGTCAGCCCGCCGCCAGCCGCCGTAGCCTTCCCTTCTCCCCAGAGTTCTGCGTTCCACAACAGAGCACCCATCGAAGCTCCAACCATCTCAGTCGCCGTCGACCACCGTGTCAAGATGTCCATCAGGACCATCTCCGTCGTCGTCCCATTCACCGTCATCCTCTGTGGCAGCCGGGCCACCACTGTCCGAGCTCGTCGCCGGAATATAAATATTCCATGAATATCGCTGAGATCTTGGGGCAGAAGAAGTCTCTGTGGTTAGGGATTGAGTGTCGACATGAAGGCGCGGTCACGGCTGTGGCGACGGCGGACCGGCGGGGGTGCGGTGGACGGAGACGGCGTTGCCGGTGGCGGGTTGGGGCTGGAGATTTTTTTTTTTGTTTTTCTGGTTTGAGGACTTTTAACTTGAAAATTTGACAAGTTATGGGGACCTATATGCAATTTTGTAACTTTTAATATTTTATGATTTAGGACTTGTGGCAAATCCGTAATTCAGTAAAAGTTTAATATATGCACCACAATAATAAATAAAATGCACAATAATGTGCATATTGACATACATTAATGTGCAACGTGCCTAACACTATTGTGCACGGTTTTGGTCACTATTGTGCAGTCTGAACCGAACAAAATTTTGTCCCAAACTAATTTAAAGTCGGACCGAAATAATTAGTTAATTTGATCGGTTAATCGAAGTAGCCAAAAAATAACTGACTTTAAATACAAGTGCAATTGGTTAATCGGTTAATTTGTTCGCTAAAGTGCAATCTGATAGTCATTAATGTGCAATCCATCTGACGGTAATGTGCACTCCAAGTGCAATTGTTTTTTAATAATTATATTAAAATATAATTATTATTTATATAAAAATAATTTATTTTTATATTAAAATATAATTTTTATTTATATATTAACGTGCCTAATGTGCAATCGAGGTAATTTGTGAAAGAAATATGAATAATGCTAAGGTGCATTCAATACAACAATATTGTGCAATCTGTTAGTAACTAATGTGCATTTTGTTTAACGATATTGTGCACAATGTACACTATGTAATGTAAGTTATTACCAGTGTAGTATTACTATACCGTATAGTCTTATGTACCATATTTGTTTAACCATCTTTATTTCATATTTTTATTTGTTATTTTAATATGTGTGTATAAAAAATATTTAAGGAATCGGGCATCTTCCTCACTCCATGGGCTTAATTGGAATATAGTTAAACTTATTAATTTACAATTAGGTCTCTTCAAATTATTTAATTTACAAAAACAAGCCCACCCCATCCAACCATAATTTCAGAAATCGGGCATCTTCCTCACTCCCGAAATTGCTTCTGTCCATGTCGCCGGACAGCCCGGACATAATCGAGCGGTGGAGCATCATGGTCGTGGAGTTCCCTCGAACAGCCGGAGCAGCTAACTTCGCCGCGGGCTCTCTTCCCCCACCGCACTGACCCAAGAACAATCCCTCGTCGGAAGAGAGATGAAGGACGACGCGGCGGGTTTGGTGCGGCGGTCATGGGTGGCAGATGTTGGGTTGATGAAGGAAGAAGCGGCGGGGCTGAAGCGGCTGTCATGGGTGGTAGACGTCGGTGCCGGCTCTGTGACGGGAATCTTACTTACCGGCGGCGCTGGAGCGACGGATGACGGAGAAGTCAGAAGTCGGTAGTGGGGACCCTCGGTTGGCGTCGCAGGGGACAGAGCCGCCATGGATTGGCCGGCGGGGACGAGAATCGCGTGTACGGCGGCGGAAGTAGAGCCGGTGGAGGTCGGCGGCGGAAGTAGCGCCAGTGGAGGTCGGCGGCGGAAGTAGCACCGGTGGAGGTTGGCGACGGGAATGGCGTCGTCGACCGTGAGTCCCCATTTATGTGTGTGTGTGAGAGAGAGAGAGAGAGTGACGTTACCTTGAGGAGAGAGAGAGACGTACTGGCGTGTTTATCTTTAATGTGTAGGTGTGGGTGGGCCAACAGATGTAGATGGTTGAATAAAGACCACATTACCCTGAATTATTCTTAGTGGGTTTAAAAATTTGGCTTTTTTTAAACTGTTGGATGATCAGATTATGTGGCTAGGATTTATTCTTATTTCTTTCACTGAGTACCATTCTCTTCTTATTTCTTTCACTGAGTACCATTCTCACCGCAGGGTGACCCTATGTATATATATGTATATATACTGTCAAGTATTGGGCATTATCAATGCATTATAATTTCAAAACAAAACTTGTCCAGAAAATGAACACAAACGGAGGTTTTAGTTGTTGATTTCATTTGGAGTGATGCTGTCGTCTCCACAGATTTTCCGGCGCTTCTGCTGCCTGAGCGCCGCAGCTTCTTCGCCTTCGTTGGTTGCTCCTCTTTCCCAGGCCCTCACTACGCAAAAGAAGCGTCTCATTTTCTTGGGCTCTCCTCAGGTGCAACACTTTCTCTCTCTCGGCCCATAAGATTTGTCAATGCGATACAAAAATGTGCACTTTTGCTATTTTGTTACTAATTATCTTTATGTCAGGTTTCCACTTGTGTTCTTGATGCCCTTTTCAATGCTTCATCCGCCCCAGATTCTTTGTTTGAGGTACTTGATTAAGTTTTCTTATATATCTAATTGGGCACCATTTGATTTAATTGTTTCATATACAGAAGAATAACTAGGCAATGTTTGGTTCAATGAGAAGAAAGTATTTTTAATTGAGGGTAGAGAGGGTACGGATGGGATGCAAACTAGTTTTACCTTTGTTTGGTTTATTTGGGAGGAGAAGAGGTGAGGAAAAAATAGTAACATCGTTTTTGGTTAAAACATCAAAGGAAGGGAAAATTGTAATGTTCATTGTAAAACAAAGTGATTTTTTTTGGAAGTGAGGGAAACTTGGGTGTTTTAAAATTTTCCTGTCAGCTCCCCTCTGAAAAACTCAACCAAACAAGTAACTTATTTTTTTTTCTTTTTTTTTTTGTATANGATCATAAAAGAAAAAAGAAAAAAAAAAGAAAAAAAGTAGGGTAATTATATAAATAAAATGGCGCAAAAAACAATTGATTATACATACAATAAGCAGCACAGCTTTCGAGAGCCGGAGCCGGAGAACGACCATGATCCCGACTTTGTGGCCGACTGGGCTTGCGACACTTGCACCCTCCCGATCTTCTCGACCCCCGGGAACAGATTTATGCACGACGAGTGCGCGAATCTCCCTGCCACGCTGGCCCCGTTGTTGCATCCCAGAAGGTCCCTCATCCTCAACCGAAACAATACTTTGTGAAAAGGAACAATCAATACTTTGCGAGGTCTGTGAAAATAGCATACAAAGTGGGGAGTGGCACTACCGTTGCCACCTATGTCAACAGTCATTGCACTTTAATTGCGTCCCATCTGTCGATCGACTCTCCAAGATCAAGTTTGGGTTTACGGTCCGTGTACAAGGCCATCCATGCCCCGTCGCTTGTGTACGCGCGCTTTCTGTGTATTGCTACATGTGTGGCCATTGTGGGAAGACCATAAAGGAACACAACGACGAAATTGCTTTTGAGTGCCCCAAGTGTTATTTTAGGATCCACAAAGACTGTTGTGCAAAAACACTCTTGTCAGATAAGGTTGAGTGGGAAGGGGAATAAGCGGTCTCCTTATGTTGTTGTAATAATTGAAGTTGTCTAATAATAGCTAAACTTGCATTATTTGTAAATGTCATATGGTCCTCTGCTCAAGAAAGCAGATGAGAGAAACATATCTATGCTTTGTATATTATTTGCACCAACTATAAGATAACATTTATTTAGTATTAATGTTCCAAGAAAAATATGGCACTTTTGTTGTAATAAATGTTACATGTAAAAAGAGAAATATACTTTTGCGAATCCTTAGATAAAAGAATATGAGTTATGTAAATAATAAAATTCATTTTGTTTTCACTTTACAAAACTTTAAGTGAACTTCTTGAATGCATTTCTAAAGTACATTTTTGTTTTACAAATATTTATTTTAAGGCTTGTTCTATTACGTTGAGTTATGTTAATGTAAACTTACATTATGAATGTCATTTAATAAACTCACAATAAAATGTTATGTTATCTTGTGAGCACTATAATAAGTGTATTGGTGGTGACATACAAAGATTTAAAAAAAAAGCCTTTTATAAAATTCTCTTTTATCTCTCACATCTTAGAGAATAAGTAAGATTCTTGACAATTGAGCTTCTAATCGAGATGAGTGTGTTAGATGGTGCAGTCTTCACTTAGCAGGAGAAAATACGTAGTAATCGTTGTTCATATTAGTGCGTATGTTTCTTCAAGACAAACATATTTTCTGTAATTCGACTATCCATTGTTACAATTTGGATTAACCAAGTTATATGTTAGTTCATAGTGTCTGGGGGCATTTTCCCACATAATGAAAATCGAGTCTTCATCTCCACTTGTGTTATTCTTCCCATCTGTTGCTTTGGTCTACCATTCAATATGGTATTAGAGCAGGGAAATTAATTAGAAATGGCACAAAATATAGATTGGAACACAGTTGTGACAAGAGGTCGCAACATGAACAACAACAATGGAGATCTGGATGAGAATCGATCTTGATTATGAGGCCAAATAATCCTTTCTTGTTGCATAGTTCTGATCATCTTTGAATGACTTTATTCTTGACTCTCTTGACTGGTTTGAACTACCAACCATAGTGGAGAGTTGTGACGATTGCGCTTGGTGCAAAGACGAAGCTCGGCTTTGTGGATGGACGAATGAAGAGACCAGATCTAGATGTGACAGAGATCGAACAATTGAAGAAGGTCGATTACACGATCTACAACTGGATACTCAACTCACTCAATAAGGATATAGTGCATGCCTTCTTGTGCGCTGAATCAGCGCAAGTGCTTGGGAAAGAAATCGAACAGAGAATTGGGAAATGCAGCGGTCAATTGCTATATCAATTGGAAAATGAAATCTCAAACATCAGACAGGAGAACAACTCAGTATCAGGTTATTTTACTAAACTGAAATGACTTTAGAATGAGTATTCTAGTAACCATATACATTTTCTTTTACATTGTCGTATTTAATGTTGTAAGTTGGACAGGTGTGCATATTGTTTCATTGCATACCCGCACTCGTATTTGTGCAAGTGCAATATTGTGTGAGTGAACTCTTGCCATTTTAGAAATGTTAATATATTTTGTGGTCATTCAGAATGAGTAAACCAAATGAGTATGTAATGAAATAGGGGAAATATAGTATTCTGGTCCTATTTCCACCTTTTTATTATTATTATTATTATTATTATTATTATTATTATTATTATTATTATTATTATTTCCAATTGATATATACCTATTCCCCTTGTTTTTCGTGGGACTTCCATGTCAGGTTGTTTCATTCTGTGAAGCCAAGAATGGGACTTAAACATTAAATACAATAACTTGATTACAAATCATAATTAAAAAGGTCCCATGGCATAAATACTGAAACACAAGCTCAAATTCAAATGTTTGGACAGACATATATATTCATGCGTACACAAACCAAATATCAAACAAGAAAAATTAAAAAAATGCATAAATGTGGTTGATGTTCACGGGACTCATATCTGGCATGTCCATATACATGATGGGATATGGATATGGATAGTTGTTGTAGTAGCTGCATGGTCCTAGGTGCTTGTTTGCTGGAAAATGATAGTTATACTCATAAACCGGCAACGTATTTCCTAGTGGAAGAGCAGCAGCATACTAATCTAGAGCGTTAGTTATGTTATCTTCATGATCATTGAAGTTGTGGTTGTCTTTTAAGTCACTATCCAACTCCCATCTGGGAGTGTTGTTTTCAGATAAATCAAGACCGTCCATCGGGATGTGCTGTTTGTTCAGATCATATGCGTCGTTTTTTGGTCCACGACTCTGCATATTTTCCGGACTTGGCCAATTTCTTTATCAGCAGTTTTGTGCTCTTCACTTTTCCCGATACCGTCACCTTGTGGTGCAGCTTCTACTTTTACCTCATACACACCTATAAGGGACATGCATAATTTTCCTTATTCACATTAACTATTTCTAGTCCTAGTGTTGGAAAATGATGACTTCTCGCGGCGGTCCACCAATACCTCCCCTCCATTGCAGCTCTGTCGCACGCTGCTGCGATTCCGACGAGATGCCACCGCCTTAACTCTGACAACCACCACTCTGCCGCCATCAAACGAGACTTCCGCCAGTCTCTCGCATTGCTCAGCGGCCGCCCGTCGCCGACTCCGCACATGCAGCTCAACTCAGCGTCGGCAGGAGATTTTCGTCGCTTGAATCAGAGTGTCTCTGGTTTCGAGATTCTCTTGCCGACAGGATGATGTTACCGACTGTAGTGACGAGGATGCTCGCTGGCGGCAATATGGTAAAGGTGTGGTGATGAAGTTGTGGGCCTGTGGCGAGGTGGCGGGGGTACAGATTAGGTTTCGGAGCATGTTAGTAAAAATTAGATAAGTTGTAGGGGCCATTATGTAATTTTGAGAATTAGAATTATAGTTTTAATTAATTCATGTGTTAAATTTAATTTATAAGCCGGAGGACCGCCATTGCGACAAAACCTGGGATTCGGCCATCTGCCACTCCGTCCAGGCGCCAAATCCACAGCGAGACCGGGATCGAGTGCGAGCGCCTCCTCCCCAATGAAGTAGAACACCTCCAAGCAGCGATTCTTCAAGAGTCGAGCCACGGTGTCCAGAGGCGCCATTACCGCACACTCTAGATGTCGGAAAAAATCGAAGGGGACCTGACGAGACTTAGGGATTTGCTACGATATCTATACTTATATAATAAGCCATCCTATTTACTAAATTTAGTGGAAAGAAAAGTCAAAGGACAATTAATGCATTCTATTTCTATCATTTTTCCAATTGTATTATTATTTTATTGCTAAAAAACTAGTTTGTATTAATTTCATCCTTAATTGATGTGTTTTGCAATTAAATCGGACAGATAGACTCCAAGTAAAAACATGTCTCATTTCAAATTTAAGTTTAAATCTTAAAATTTCTTATTATTTTGTTACATTAAAATCATAAATGAATTATTTGCCATAAAATCGGACAAAATAATAATTGCATAGAATTCAAGTAAAAACATGTCTCATTTAAAATTTAAATTTTAAAATTCCTTATCATTTTGTTACATTTCCGAATGATTTGTTTCCCATAACATCGGACGGAATCAATAATTGCATAGAATTCAAGTATGATTTAAATTTATATCGAGGATGTTTAATAATTGCATAGAATTTCAAAGATGTTTATTTATTATATAAAAAAAAATTAAATTCTAGAAAAACATTTGTGTATATTTTGTAAAATGTTTGTACAAAATATTTTACTTTAAATTTATTTACATAATTTAAATTAGTTACATTAATAAATAATATTAACATGCATTAAATATTTTAATTACATAAAACAAAAAGAAGAAGAAGACTACATCTATAACTTGTATAAATGATAATAATGACATTATATTACAATAAATTTTATATTAAAATAATATGAGTATTATACGAGAAACAAGATTACGTAAAATTGTTATTTTTCTTATATCAAGGAATAAATATATATAATGAAATCAAATTTATATTATTATAAACATGTGAGCGAGATAATATATTAAATAATTTACGGGATAGCGCTACCAGGCTCAGGTTTAATGTCTCGACAAAAAAGATGACATTGATGAAGGAGGTAAAAAAATAAATAATCAAACTCTATTTTTTTTAGGCCTGAACTGACAAGCCCTATTATCCACTCATTTAATATCTCCCGTGAATCGCACGAGCTACTTAACGGAGCTACTTAACGGACAAGCTCTGTGGAAATAATAATTATATTTCTAAATATCCTTTGCACAATATAAAATTCAATAACATTATTAACCTTAGATAGTCAATAACTCGTGATTTTTATTATATCATTATGTGATAGTTTTTATTACGTTATATGTAAAAGTTCAGTTATTATACCTTTTTATGATACATTAACTTTATTCAGAAATTCATGAAAAAAAAATAAAAATCTAGAAAGATACATCCTTCTTCTACTCCAATCCATATCTGCTTCTCTTTGAAAATCTCCTCCTTTTACTAGTGTAGAATTGGGAGAATTGTCTGCGTACGGAAACATCTATCCCAATTTAGCTCTTCCATCAGTCCATGCCTGTCAGAGTTACCACCAAATCCACATACAAGTTGTACCAGCCAGAGTTAATGGCATCCAACTACTTTCATCAAACAATAAGAATCAGGGAACAAAGTTATGATCGTTCAATGCTACAGTTTATATGTTTCTAAGCACAAAAAAATACTAATGATCATATATTGTATCTATAAACATAAATAAATGCAGCCTCATTCCCCCAATTCTTTTTGCGATCCACCTTAAAAATAGATGTAGNTTCTTCTCCTACAAACCAACATCAACTAACAATAGAGCATTCCAAGATTTACTTGTTGCTTGTTAGGTGCCAATATATCAACCTTTCTACACTGATCTGTGGACAGTCTTCTTGAATAGAAACCGTTCGTAATTCGTAAATACCTACAATATTTGCAACATTTATCACTCCCAAGAGCATAAGCTACAAATAAAAAAGTTCTCTTCGGACATACTGTTCTTTTTTTGCATGATCATGCACTTGAAAGAGATGAAAACTTCTTTAATCTTTGGCCTCTCAAGCCATTCCAAAATGCGGTGGCATTTACGACTTTTTTACCAGGAAGTTGCAGCTCCAGTACCTATAAATGAGCATAAGCTGATCAAAAGAAACAAAGTGTTGTATATTGGTAAATAAAAGTACCTACTTTCACAGAAAACTAAGTTACACCATTGCAAACATATTTTGTCATAGATAATAATCATAATAGCTGGGTCAACTGCAAGTAGGAGTAGGAGAGAAGGTTGAGTTAGTTGTGATTCTTTAAAGGTAAAGGTATGTAACTATAAAAATATTTGATGATGTAACTAAGGACAGGTGGAGAACTCAAGACCAATGTTGAGGATGTTTCTTGTAATTAACAAAATTATTTGTACAAACCTCAAGGGTGTTGCATGTAATTGTCCCAAATTTTTAATGCAAACTAATCATGATTCATGAATTCCCTCCATTATACAAAGACTCCATACAGAACAAGACACAGGGTTTTTTAATGGCTGGAATCAACTCAATTTTTATTTTATTTTTTTCTTTTACAAACAAACAGATTATGATTATTTATGCTGACATTAAAAAATGAAAAGGAAAATACACACACAAAACTCACCTCAAGTGCTGTACCCCCACCACATGGGAATACCAATGAACCCCTCTCAAAGAACACATCATTCATTTCACCACTTTGAATTTCACTCTTCACATAAACTCTTGTAGTGATAATTTTAAGTTCCAAAATGTTGTGCTGACCACTTTTCGAATCAATTACTGAAACTTTTGCTCGGGTTCCTGGCCAACCTGAAAATGCACGTACCTGAAAAGGTTGCATGTATCACAGATATCCCGAGGAAAAATTGTAATTATATCCATACCTTGTTGTGAAGGGTTCTAGCATTTTCATCAAATGAGAGCCATGACTCATCTGGTGTTATCTGCATCAGTAAATTCCATGCACATGGGTTTTATATTTTAATACGTTCATAATATTCGACCCAAACAAAAGTAGCTTTAGGCAGTTAAGTGAAGTTTCAAAGTCAAATAATAAATAATGCAATATATAATAGATGGTATCCAGTTAACAGCATTTCATCTTTGAATGACTGCAGCATGAAAATAATCTTGGCATGGGTATAACCATGAAATCCAATTCTGCTTTTATATATATAAATTAGAACTGCTTATGAAGAGTGCTCTTTGTCAATGAATAATGGACAAAAATTACAACCAATCACTTTTTTTAATCCAACATGCAGAAATTAAAAACCTCAGAATTAAGAAAGAAATAGCTGGAAAGCTACAAGCTGTTCTGAGGCTTTATCCAGAACAAACTTATTGGATTAACTCACATACGAAAAATTTGAATTTTGCAAAGCCATTTGTGAAACCAGAGTTGAGCATTTCAGTCATCTACACAAACTTCAGTTGAAATTTTCAATTGTCGCACTAATTAAACCACAAAGTCCGAACATATTAATATTAATATTGACCTAGGGTGTCACAAAATGTTTCATATTAAACCTGCTTTTTGTAATCAAGAAAAAAATGGCTAGCTTACTTTTGGGGCTAATGAAGCTCGAGATTCGTCTTGTGGAACCGCTTTAGTTTGGCCAGAACCATCTAATATTGACGGAAGCTCATGGACCAGAAGTCTGGACCCTACATTGATTTGTACATGTTCAATTTCAACATACGTTTGCATATATTTAGCAAAGCAAAAAATTAGTTGATTTATTTAGAGAAATGAAGGATTATAATGATCAAAGAATAGACACAGGCACATGTCACAATACAGAAAACTATGGATTGTCATAAACAGCAATGGTCAAGAGCTGATTAAAGATAGGCATATGTAATTTTCAATTATCCAGGCAACAACAACAGAAAATAGAACAAAACGTACTTATAGGCAAGAATCATGAAATTTTGTTCCATATGACCTAATTTGACAAACAGGAGGATCTCCAAAAGTTCTCAGCACAGATAGCATGAATACAGTTTTGAGAATTATAATTATTTTCCTGTTTCCAGTGAGCATTATAAATACATGTTCAGTAAACGTCAAGACTAACTCCGGTTAGAAAACTAGTAAGGAAGGTTACAGGAAAATATTAGGGAATACATGATTCTGATCTAATAGTGTTTTCTAGTAAGCCAATACAGTCAACCAGACAGCAACCAAATTTTAAACTGTTATGCAAACACTTGAAGAATACAAATCTCAGCAGGAGGACAATGAATGTAACCACCTCTCTTTTAGTGCTTACACATATTCCAATGTAAAGCAAAACACAACATTTTTATCACCTGAGTTGCGGGAAAGAGAAAAAAGCTACCTTTCTGAAATAGCAACTCAAGTAACTCCGGTGCCTGCACAACAACAAATCAAGAAAAGCAAAAATAGATTAGGTTATCCAATATAGTTTCCTTCTAGTACATATATTCTCCCAGACCATTTAATCTGAAATATTTTTTTATTTTTTTTACTTAAAAAAGAAAGAAAAAAAAAAAGAAAAAAAGATGACCAAACATTCCCCAAGTAAGTTCCATCACTATTATCCATATCGAGAGGCCAGTAATATGAAAAGTAGTAAAAACGATCCAAATTGACCTACGGTTACCATAATACTGAATCAAACCCTGTTCATCCTCCCTAATTCCCAACTACCAATACAGTTAAATGTTCCGTGCTTTAAGCTAATGTAGCACTCAATACAAACTACTGGTACCTTTATCTGGTCATCAATTTCCACCTTTTCACAAGCAATAACTGGACCTGCATCCAGTTGGCGGACCGTATATGCTACTGAAACTCCAGTTTCTCTCACACCATCCTGTACCAAAAGTCCATTTTTTCTTTTATTATTAGGAATAAAACAAATCGAGCAAGCCAATAAATTATAACAGTAAGTTATAATGGAATATAACCTGTACCGCTCTCTGAACAGGTGCAGCCCCACGATATAGAGGAAGCAAACTGGGATGTATGTTGACTGTCCCTACAAAATTGCACCTAAAATCTGTGAGACGATATCATATTTTAAGCAAATATGAAATCAAGATTAATTAATCCATGCACATATCAGGGGTATGTCTTAAAGAGTAGAAAATGCATAAAGCTATTTCTTGATGTAAGGATGAAGTTTCAGTAATTCCAGAGGCATTCCTAAGATCGAATAGTGCAGCTTGAGTGGCTCGCCATTGTTGTGCCTTCGCTTGCATGAAAAGATGTACCAATATGATAAAAATATCATACCAGATATGTGCTTTTAGAAATTTGTTCATCTTAATACGCCATGTAAATTAGCCCTTATCAAGCGCCAGATTTATTTAAACTTTATCACCACACTTCCTAATCAGATAATTTTATACATCTTTTAGGAATAATACTATATTATTTCACAAAAGAGTGGACATCCAATGTCCTGCATAGATAGTTACAACTCAAAAGGGTCATATTTTGACGAGTCTTTCGTAATATATCTCTGTCGGTAAACCTTAAGCGTGTCGAAAGTGATTGTAAGGATCCAGAGTGGTATTTTACAAAGACAAATAATATATGTTTATATATTGTTAAATATCAGAGCCAAGGGAAAAAAGACCCTGCAATTAGAACAGTGTTCAGCTCTAGAGTGGCATATTAAAATACGACTACTAAAACAGAACGGTCATCTGACCAACATACTTATTTTTTATTTCTTAAGCCACAAAAGTCATCTTTTCGCAGACATGAGACAGAAAATAACATCAAAAGAAAACCATTGATGTAGAACAGGGTACATTCAGATAAGAATTTGTCATCATGCACATTTCCCAACTTGTCATCATGAGGAAATTGAAAGAGCAATTGAGACTTTATGCATGACTTTCGGAAGACATGCACGTTATTTCATCTCTAAAATAATAACTAAACTTGAGTTACAGTAATAAAAAAATGACGTCAGAAATTAATATAAATGCCCAAGATAACCGTTGAGTACATGATACATTTATGAACAGTTATTTAGTTGAATCGTTTCTGTAATGTTGTTAAGCTCTTTATTTGATTTCAAAGATTTGAACGCATTTTCTGGATAGACATCACTCAATGAGGATTACAAGGTATATATACAAGCCAAAGCCAAAAGAGATGTAAGAAAGGAAAGTAATCAAAGAACCTAATCTACGGGATTTACCACATCACCTAATTGATACAATCTAATCTATACCATATTTACGATAACAGTTTTTAAATTCCACAATCCTCATGTTCACAGAATACAAGAATTAGCAATAACACAGTCGAAAAGGCTTGAGCAATGATTTTTAAACTAACCCATAGATGGAATTTTAAGGAACTTTGACGGCAATATATTCCCATATGCAGCCGTGATGCAAAGTTCAGGTTCCAGAGCTTTCAATGCGGAAAGAAATGATTCCTGCAAGGTGTAGCCATAAATGTAGAATCTTTACTCCAGAAAGGTACAAGAATAAGAGGTTCCGAAATATACTCAACTGCCAAAAGACCTAAGCATTTAACACAAGTGGATTGTGAGATCATCCATATATATATATAATGCAGCAGAAAACCTCTAAACTAACTTCTGGATGTACGTACATATTTTAGAAGATACTCTAGTAGATACAGAAATTAAATTAGAGTAGTCCCGATAACTGGATATATTTTGAGTTGCACCATATGCTAAAACTATATGCATTCATATTATTCGAGTACAAGAAATTAGTTTTCTGGAGTAAACTTGTACAATCCAATATATAAATTATAAAGGTATGAAGCAACTCTTTGAAAATTTTACATGTGATGATAAATGGTTTGGAATGTTAACTGCGTTGAAAATTGAACATGTATTTTTCTAGATAATAAGAGGTGTTCATGGCAATAGAGCAAGGTATCATGGAAAAAAGAACACTATTACCTCACCAGCTTTGATTGGTGAGAAGATCAAATCAGACGGGTGCCCGTTGTCCAGAGCATATTGTGCAACTGGAGAAGGCATCAATTTTCTACCCCTTTCTCTTCCAGAAGGCGGTTGGGTCACAATGGCTGCTACCTGAATCACAACACAACAGATACTTGAGAAAATCAAAGACAAGGTTAATCAAAATTCTGCATACATATTTCGTGCACTCCCAAAAAAATACTTTTTAAAATAGCTTCAAAACTGCATCACAATGGGAGGGAAAAGTCCACAACATCCTTGGTTGATGAATGAGTTGATTAAAAACTGAATTAACTTTCAGTATTATATCATTCATACACCTTGATGTTTGCAGAAAAACGAATTTCCAAACACGCAAGAACCCTCATTGCAATGCTCATAATAGATATGACATATGAAAATCAGCAGAGCCTCCACTAGCAACTGTTCTTAAATTCTTCTCTTGGTTTCAACTGTGTGTTGACTTGTAACCGTAATGAACATCTACCAAGTGCCAATCACCGGTAGTTGGAGGTATTTGGAGGGGAGGTGAAAGGAGGGACTTCATTTTTTATACAAAAAAAAAAAGAAAAAAAAATAAGTTACTTGTTTGGTTGAGTTTTTCAGAGGGGAGCTGACAGGAAAATTTTAAAACACCCAAGTTTCCCTCACTTCCAAAAAAAATCACTTTGTTTTACAATGAACATTACAATTTTCCCTTCCTTTGATGTTTTAACCAAAAACGATGTTACTATTTTTTCCTCACCTCTTCTCCTCCCAAATAAACCAAACAAAGGTAAAACTAGTTTGCATCCCATCCGTACCCTCTCTACCCTCAATTAAAAATACTTTCTTCTCATTGAACCAAACATTGCCTAGTTATTCTTCTGTATATGAAACAATTAAATCAAATGGTGCCCAATTAGATATATAAGAAAACTTAATCAAGTACCTCAAACAAAGAATCTGGGGCGGATGAAGCATTGAAAAGGGCATCAAGAACACAAGTGGAAACCTGACATAAAGATAATTAGTAACAAAATAGCAAAAGTGCACATTTTTGTATCGCATTGACAAATCTTATGGGCCGAGAGAGAGAAAGTGTTGCACCTGAGGAGAGCCCAAGAAAATGAGACGCTTCTTTTGCGTAGTGAGGGCCTGGGAAAGAGGAGCAACCAACGAAGGCGAAGAAGCTGCGGCGCTCAGGCAGCAGAAGCGCCGGAAAATCTGTGGAGACGACAGCATCACTCCAAATGAAATCAACAACTAAAACCTCCGTTTGTGTTCATTTTCTGGACAAGTTTTGTTTTGAAATTATAATGCATTGATAATGCCCAATACTTGACAGTATATATACATATATATACATAGGGTCACCCTGCGGTGAGAATGGTACTCAGTGAAAGAAATAAGAAGAGAATGGTACTCAGTGAAAGAAATAAGAATAAATCCTAGCCACATAATCTGATCATCCAACAGTTTAAAAAAAGCCAAATTTTTAAACCCACTAAGAATAATTCAGGGTAATGTGGTCTTTATTCAACCATCTACATCTGTTGGCCCACCCACACCTACACATTAAAGATAAACACGCCAGTACGTCTCTCTCTCTCCTCAAGGTAACGTCACTCTCTCTCTCTCTCTCACACACACACATAAATGGGGACTCACGGTCGACGACGCCATTCCCGTCGCCAACCTCCACCGGTGCTACTTCCGCCGCCGACCTCCACTGGCGCTACTTCCGCCGCCGACCTCCACCGGCTCTACTTCCGCCGCCGTACACGCGATTCTCGTCCCCGCCGGCCAATCCATGGCGGCTCTGTCCCCTGCGACGCCAACCGAGGGTCCCCACTACCGACTTCTGACTTCTCCGTCATCCGTCGCTCCAGCGCCGCCGGTAAGTAAGATTCCCGTCACAGAGCCGGCACCGACGTCTACCACCCATGACAGCCGCTTCAGCCCCGCCGCTTCTTCCTTCATCAACCCAACATCTGCCACCCATGACCGCCGCACCAAACCCGCCGCGTCGTCCTTCATCTCTCTTCCGACGAGGGATTGTTCTTGGGTCAGTGCGGTGGGGGAAGAGAGCCCGCGGCGAAGTTAGCTGCTCCGGCTGTTCGAGGGAACTCCACGACCATGATGCTCCACCGCTCGATTATGTCCGGGCTGTCCGGCGACATGGACAGAAGCAATTTCGGGAGTGAGGAAGATGCCCGATTTCTGAAATTATGGTTGGATGGGGTGGGCTTGTTTTTGTAAATTAAATAATTTGAAGAGACCTAATTGTAAATTAATAAGTTTAACTATATTCCAATTAAGCCCATGGAGTGAGGAAGATGCCCGATTCCTTAAATATTTTTTATACACACATATTAAAATAACAAATAAAAATATGAAATAAAGATGGTTAAACAAATATGGTACATAAGACTATACGGTATAGTAATACTACACTGGTAATAACTTACATTACATAGTGTACATTGTGCACAATATCGTTAAACAAAATGCACATTAGTTACTAACAGATTGCACAATATTGTTGTATTGAATGCACCTTAGCATTATTCATATTTCTTTCACAAATTACCTCGATTGCACATTAGGCACGTTAATATATAAATAAAAATTATATTTTAATATAAAAATAAATTATTTTTATATAAATAATAATTATATTTTAATATAATTATTAAAAAACAATTGCACTTGGAGTGCACATTACCGTCAGATGGATTGCACATTAATGACTGTCAGATTGCACTTTAGCGAACAAATTAACCGATTAACCAATTGCACTTGTATTTAAAGTCAGTTATTTTTTGGCTACTTCGATTAACCGATCAAATTAACTAATTATTTCGGTCCGACTTTAAGTTAGTTTGGGACAAAATTTCGTTCGATTCAGACTGCACAATAGTGACCAAAACCGTGCACAATAGTGTTAGACACGTTGCACATTAATGTATGTCAATATGCACATTATTGTGCATTTTATTTATTATTGTGGTGCATATATTAAACTTTTACTGAATTACGGATTTGCCACAAGTCCTAAATCATAAAATATTAAAAGTTACAAAATTGCATATAGGTCCACATAACTTGTCAAATTTTCAAGTTAAAAGTCCTCAAACCAGAAAAAAAAAAAAAAAAATCTCCAGCCCCAACCCGCCACCGGCGACGCCGTCTCCGTCCGCCGCACCCCCGCCGGTCCGCCGTCGCCACAGCCGTGACCGCGCCTTCATGTCGACACTCAATCCCTAACCACAGAGACTTCTTCTGCCCCAAGATCTCAGCGATATTCATGGAATATTTAAATTCCGGCGACGAGCTCGGACAGTGGTGGCCCGGCTGCCACAGAGGATGACGGTGAACGGGACGACGACGGAGATGGTCCTGATGGACATCTTGACACGGTGGTCGACGGCGACTGAGATGGCTGGAGCTTCGATGGGTGCTCTGTTGTGGAACGCGGAACTCTGGGGAGAAGGGAAGGCTACGGCGGCTGGCGGCGGGCTGACAGCGGGAGAGGGGAGGCGAGGCCGACGCCGGAGAGAAGGTAGAGAGATCGCCGGAATTTGTGGCGGACATTGGTCGTCTGTGCAAAGGGAAAATGGAGAGATGACGAGAGAGAGATACGGCGGCGGTAGAAGGCGGCGTCGGGCGGCAGCAGACGGCGGCTGTTGGTGGCAGTAGGCATCTCCGGCGGGCTCGCAGAAGGTGAACGATTTCAGATACGTTTAGTGTGTGTGTGTGCGTGAGAGAGAGAACAAAGAGGGAGAGATAGGAGAGAGAGGAAAGAGTGACGTGAATTGATATGGGTGGGGCCCACTGAATTTTTATTTGATGAAATTACACCACTGCCCTCAAATGTATGTATTTGTCCATGAAATTATAATATAATCACAATTTTGCCACTCAGGTTTGACCATTATAATTAAATCTTGACTTCATCATGTTCATTGATATAATTGATCCAATGGTCCGTGATCATTCTTATTTCTTTCACTATCTACCATTCTCATGTGATCCTAACTCTATATATATATATATATATATATATATATATATATATATATATATATATATATATCTTATCTATATATGAAGGAGTTTGGCCTTTTATATAATTGACACATGTCCATTTTTTTGTCTTTAAAAGTTGACAAGTGTCCTATTTTTTTTACAGTTTTGCCACTGCACTTTCAAGAGCATGTTTTAATTGCCTAATTCATTTTTTTGTACTAAATTTCCCTTTGTTCTGGTGATTGTTGTTGCCCTTTTTTAGCTTGTTGTCGTAATTTGGCAGATAACTTGTATTTATTTTTATTACTTCATGTTCATTCATTTCAGCATATTTCTCAACTTTTCAACCGGAGATCGTGCATAAAATCTGCTTCAAGATTTCTTTTTACCTTTTCTTCTTTCCCAGAAATCACTCGCGGCTTCATATTTTTTCTTTCCCGAAGCATTTCTTTCTTCTGTATTAACACGCCTGTTCGTTCCACTTTTGTCATGTTTTTCTTCTTTATTTCATGCTTGTTTTTCCCCTACTTAGGTATTTTTCTTTGGTTTTTGGTCCGTTTCGAGTCGTTTCGTGCATTTCCTTTGTTTTAGTGGTTTTTGGTCTTTTTGTTCGTTTTTTCCCGGTTTTCCATATTTCTTGTCGGTGGTGATGTGCAGGTTTGGTGGCTCGGTGCATGGCCATGCAAGGTTTACCGTCTAGATGGATGAGTGGGGGTCGTGTTGGAGAAGACAGGAGTAAATTCCGAGTCCGGATGAGAGAAGACGAACCCGAAAACCGACGTGCAGAAATTCTTCGCCGCGGCCGCGAGATACACAAAAGTTCCAATTTCTGGCTCGGGGAGGTCGCGGCCGCGGAGACGGTCGCGGCCGCGAGATGTTCTTCACCGCGGCCGCGGAGGGCTAAGCCGCGGCCGCGGGGGTCGCGACAGCAGATTTTTTATTTCGCGATTGTGTTCAGTTTTTCATTATCTTTTCACCTAGGTTTTGACTCTCTCTCGATTTTATGCACTCCAGAACATATATTTCTCTGAGATTTTCATAAGAATTGATCTTGGATTGTGAAAATACCAATATTAAGCTTGTGGATTCGGTTATTCGTGTATTCAACATTGGATTCCTTAATCGTAAGCTTTCATTTCGTTTTCTTATTGATTGAATGGCTTTGATTATTGTATTTGTTGGAGTTGAATGCATTATGAGTAGCTAAATCCTTTAGCTAGGGTTAGGGGAAGATCGTTCCGGTTTGATTTCGTTTATATGCATGATAATTGCTCAATCCTCTCGAGTTGTGCTTAGCCTAGGGTTTTGATGATTGATCACCATCTTAATCTATTTAATCGATTTCAAAACTGAAAAGGGAGAAATCGTTCGATCTAGGCTCGTTAGGAATAAGCTTGTTCGTAATAGTATTGCTTATGTGTTGATTGTTTCTAGAATTACTCATTAATGCCTATCCTCTTGTTACGAAGAGTTATTGAAGATAGACCCCTAGATGAGTAGTTCAGCGAGACATTTAACCGAGCTCTTGATTGCTCGTTAAGTGTATTGAGAACCGGAATTGATCGACCTTGATACCCTAGCTCCCTTATCATAAATTAAGTTCGAGTATTGAGTTGTGAACTCGTGATTCCTAATCTTGTCTAGTCTTTTCAGTTACTTTCTTTTCAATTAGTAGTCGATAAACAAACCTACAAACTTGATTTAGAATGTTTAGGATTTTTTACTTCTTTTATTTTCCATTTTGTGTTTGAATAATCGTACAAAATAATCCGGCTGACCTTCCTCGAGAGACACGACCCGGTGTCGAATCTTTTGATTTAACTCCGGTAAAATCACTACAACAACGCCATCTCTCTTAGCCGATTACAGAATGAAACTCGACCTGCCAGACAAATAAAAATCTCATCGCCGATTGCAGAATGAAGCCCGCCTCATACATACGAGTCATGACGATTGTATAGAAAACAAAGGTAGATCTCCCTGAATCTATTTATGCATTTTAGGGCTTTTGTAATTGGAGCTTTTGATTTCACGGGTGTCAATGTGTGTAATCCAATAGTTACTTTTTTCTTTATTAAGGAAATTCGGCTGATGGATCCAAAACCCTCGAAGTTGTATGCGTCTTCCTCTACGCGCGTATTAAGATAAATCTTATTTTAGCTAATGTTCGTTCCCTTTCAATTTCCCTGTTTTTATTTTGCCGTTCTATCGTTTTTCCACTTTCCCAATTGGTCAAAAAATTCTGAATTCCAACACCAAAAAATTGGAAGTTAGGGTTTGGGTTATAAGGATCGAACCGATTTGAGTCAGTCCGAGTACGAATTGGATTTGACTAGAAAGTATTCGCGATTTATTAACAGAAGTGAAAGCGAAGGAGCTGCGCCAGAAATCAGTCGATTCCCCAGCCTTTCGCGCCATCGTGTACTAGCCATCGTCTGCAAGCTAATTCCTTTTGGTTGGCAAGCTATGGTTCGAAGTGTGCCGAACTAAGGTGACATTTTAATTTTGAATTTTTTCATTGCATAATTCTTCTTCTTCTTCTGCCGCGCTTTTTCTTGTTCTGCCACTATGATCAATTTCTTTGCTGGTGGTATTTTGTGTAGGTATCAGGTAATTGGTCGAGGCTACCTCCGGCCCCTCTTAATGGGTATTTGTGTAGACGCTGAGTTCGATGTTTTCAATGTGTTCTCCAATAAGATTAAAGGGGAAGTTGACAGGTAAGTTTGTTCCTTTAAGAAGCAAAGATTTTCAATTTCGTACGTTTTAGTTGATAGTTGGAATTACATTGTTGTTTGTTTATCCAATGCAATTTGTTTGTCCTAATTTTCGGTTGTCTAACTACCTGTGTGGGCGAGTTATTGTATGAGTAGAGATGCATTCTTCCTATAATTAACTGTAACGCCCCACTTTATTTCAAATGATTTATCAAATTTATTTAATAAATATCACAATAAATTTTTCGCAAACTTTAATTTAATTAAAAACTCAGTGGACGCTACTCAAATTTACCAAAAGCCTTTAACCAAAAATGCAAACGTATCAAATAAAGACAGCATGCACGAATAATAAATCATAAACGAAGCTAGCATTCATTAAGTTCCAAATCATAAAGATAGTTCATAACTCCAAGTTTCAAACGACATGATAAATATCCAAATTTCGACATGAGTTCATAAACTAAGCGGAAGCAAAATTATATAAATAAATGTCATAACCACCACTCGTCATCTCGTCTCGTCACCCGCCAACTACTTAACCTGCATCAGTTACGAGCAGGTGGGAGTGAGTACAGTTAACTATCGTACTCACACTATGCACATGAATAACTTATAAATGGTATGGTCGCAGCATGAACATAAACAATTAAATCATGTCACATCTCTAGTCACATCAATGACTCTAGTCTCATCAAAGACTCACTCATGTACATCTATGCTCATCAAAGCTAAGCCATGCCATATCAGTGAAACATGGGAGTGCGTGTCACATCAATGACACGGCCTTCTCATAGGTCTTAATGAGATTTACCTCACGGGGTAATCGTATCTTATCATACGGGGACAACCGTATCGACGGTCATCAAGCTCACATCGATAGGCTACATGTTCATTTTCATACATAGATCACACCAACTTTCATCACAATTTAAATCACACATATGCATAAATAATTTTAGAATAACCCACCTGGATTCCGGATTGATAATAACTCAAAGCAATGGAAGTAGGTCGAGGCTGGACTCCTCAATCACCTACATTAAGTCAAGATGCTACAATCAACATCTATCTTGACTTTAAACGGAAAACACAAAACAGACCAAGTCGAACTTGTTTCGACTAAGTAATTCGTGAAGTCCTGTGGACGTTGGAACACTAAGACTCAATACAAAACTTGACCAACCAACATATGAGAGTTCAAATAATTCCATCTAATGATAGACTAAGTCAACCTCACAACAGAACGAAAAGCAAGTCGATTCTCAACTTTCATTTCAAAATCATGTTTCGAAAATAGAAATCATTAATCACATGAAAATAGATGGTCAGGCTACCCTACGAATTAAGCTCTGAAACTTTACACAAAATTTCATCTCCCAGAAACATGTAAAACCACAAATTTTCAGATTCAAACTCGAAATACACTATTTTATAAAATTCGAACAAAATATCAACAAAATGGGAACATTAATTCATACTTGAACTTAATGAACGAACCAGAACTTGACAATTTTACACAACAACATACAGCATCCTAAGGTCCATGTATAAAAATCTCAGCTTTAAATGTTGACTGCTACTATTTTTAAAAATTCATACGAGCATCAGCAGTTTATCAAATTTAAATCAAAACTGAATCAAAATGGAATCCGAAAATTCCCATCTTTTAAAAACACAATTCAACACATAAAATAGGCATCTCAGCAAAATTTCAGAATTTTTTACGAAATAACCAATTTATAAAAATTCAAACAACGCTTCTGCAGATTCGATAAATAAATTATTAACCACATCAAATCAAACCCAAAAATTCTAAAACTTTCACACCACATATAACGTCATAGAGGCATGACATATTCAAATTTCAGCTCATTTGATTCACAAATGAATCTTTTATGCATTTAACACTATTCTGATCAGATTACATTTTAATTATTAAAAATAGCAACAGGCTTCCAAAAATCACGAAATTTTTACACACGGCTGGTAATGAACACACTACAGCACCCTCAAATTTTCAAATCGTTTCAAGCAACGAGCTATTTTTAAAAATTCGAACACCAAAACAACGATTCAAATGCTCGATAACTTGTCAATTAATTCATAACATGAAATTTCTCGTCCGAGGCATTTTCATAAGACCAAGGGCTCGACATTGTTCCAATATCAACCGACTTACACGACTTTCGAGGTCTCGTCGATTCTTGAGAAAATCGAAGAGGTCCCGAACATACGATAACACATAAAATCATAATAATATATAAACGCACATATTCACATCAAGCAATTCACACATATATTTCATTGTTCAACGAACACTTCACGACAATAACACATAACGAAAATAAATCATAAACGAGTTAAATGAGACGGAAAAACGACGAGGTACCGTTCTCGGGAAAAATCAAAAAACGAAACGAACACGAACGGGCTCGACGGATTCTCGCGTCTCGCCGGAAGGAGAAGGTGCTGCAGCGGCTTCGAGAGGGGATGGGTCACTGCTGCTAGGTTGCCGGACGACGCTGCAAGGTCGCCGGAGGAGAAGCTGCTCGTCGGAAAATCACGTTCGGAAGTGTTCACGTCGTCGGGCTCGCGGGCTCCTCGAAGGACGAACAAAAGTCGCCGGAACTTGCTGCAAGGGGTCGTCGGAGATTGCTGTGCGAGTTGCTGCGAGAAGGGCTCGCCGGCGGTCGTGGACTGCTCACAGGAACACAATCCCGCCGGAAGTTGCAGGCCGCCGGAATTTCGAACAGAGGAGGATGGCGAGATGAAGAAGTCCTGCTCACGAACGGAATGACGAGATAGAGACGATGATGACGACCAAGGTGATGATGGACGACGAGGGTGATGATTGAGATGGTGATAGCCGGATTTTCTGCTGCTTGCGCGTGAACAAAAAGAAAAAAAATCGATGGCGGCGATTTGCGTGAAAGGTGAGGGAAGAATCAAAGACGAGAGATGGGTTTATCGATCAGAAAAAGAAAAAGCTGCGGGTACGTTTATGAAGAGAGAAATCGAGATGGAGAATTATATATATTCTCATTAGGGTTAATGAGAAATCTTCATGTCCAAGACAAACACAACTCCAAACACACGACTCACGCGAAAGAAAAAGAGGAGAAAAATCTGTCGGGCCGGGCCCGAGAAGTTGGGTCAAATTGGTTTTGGGCCGGTTGCGACATCAAATCGGCTCACGGGCTCGCTTACGATTCAAACGGACATTCTCGGGCCCAATTTCGGTTCCAACGAAAATTCTCGGGCTCGATTACGAATGCAAACGCGCGATAAAAAAAAAAAACCGAACAATATATATATATATTGTACATATTTTTAAATACACATTATTTCACATTAATAATATAATAAATCACAAAATCAATTAGACAATTAGACATTTAGCATTTAATCACATTTGGCAATTAATTAATATTATGGCATTCAAGAAAAATAAATATAAATATTATCACAAAAATAATAATAACAATAATAATAACAATAGAAATAATAATAATATTTCTCAAATAATCCACAAATAAACGGGGCACTACAGTCTACCCACCTTACAAAGAATTCCGTCCTCGGAATTCGAACAACAAACTACGACGAGAATCTAACGAGAAACAAGAGGAGACAACATCAGCACATGAAATCCAGGTGCTTCCTCGGAATTTCGGTCTCCCTCTCCCAAGTCGCCTAGCCTTGACAACCCTCCCACTGGACTTGACGAGTACCCCTCCCAGCCTTATCCTAATGGACCCTCTGATCCAATAGGTCACCGGTACCTCCATACAGGTAGGGTTCTGCCTATCACGCAGCTCGTCACATCTCACATATACTCCGAGATCACGCACACGTTTCCTCCATCAAGAGGCACAGAACGTGTCATGCATCCTCGCGAGTTCCGGTGGTGGAGTCAACCATCAGGCTAAGTCATCGACTTGGTCTGGAATCAAAAATAGGACTGAGTACGCGTGGCAGTAACCAGAACAACGGCATACTCCACCTATATCCGTACCAGCCACCTCACATGGCACCATTAGGGTTGTCGCTAGATAGCCATCGTTACCAGCGTACCTCCCCATGGTAAGGTATTCTCACACTCTACTCCTCTATCAATACACAAGACCCTAACCGGTCCTTACGTGTCTCGATAGCATACTCCAACAGAATCAACATATAGGGTTGACTTGTTGTATCGAGCTTCCATCTCGTGCCCGGGTCACGGTAGAAAACTCGATTACTACAACGACATGATCTGTGCGTCCTTATAAAACAGACCACCACAGAATCCCATACGGATGGGCTAACAATCCACAATAACACTATATCCTCAACACCGATACCTACAGAACACACGGCTCTGTTTGATACCATTGTCAACAACTCTACCCTTGACGACTCGAATAACAACTCGAATGCGGTTTAGGAAATATCGACTAGATGTTCGAAAACAATCTCCTATCGCAGAATCGGTCTCACGATTGGGGATGCTCGATATTCCCATACTAACGATCTAACACCAATACTCTCTCACTCTTCGTAGGTCTCGATCCGTACGAAGTATACATAGTCTCCAATCGAGGCTCGGGACACTGCCCGAAAACGATGAGGGACCGAATTCTCGCTATCACGAGAGAATTTCGCACAAGACAAATGAAAACTAATCGACAAGCCTCACATATCGAGAGTCGTTGATTAGGGATTTCATACAACGGTTCAGTTTGGAGTTTAAGGCACTGTCACCCGAGAGATGACACACACACAGGCGCTGCATAAACGGGGCGCCAGGACGTGTGCATGCACCTGCTCAGAGACCAGCTGCAAGATCAAGGTTTGGCCGTACACACTGCCTGGGGAGTTCCTGCATTCGGTGATGGCGGCGGCAGCTCTCGTGCGAGTCAACGGTCGGCCACTGCAGTTGGCCTCACGTCTCTCAGCACGGGCGTGCGGGCTCGGCCACCACTTCGCGTGGCTACACCCATCCAGGTTCGGCGTTCAGTTTAAGGTACACACCAGAAATTTCAATTTCCGGGTCCATAGATTCCTAGATACTCAGATAGGAAAAAGGCTTCCTTACAAGACTTTCCCAACCACAACAATTTAAGC